AAAAATTGGTCAGCACCAGGTGAAGATGAACTGCATGGGTTTTGGTTGAAACATCTAACTGTTATACACCCACTCATTGCCAAGCAATTCAACAATATACTACAAGGAGGAGAAATTGAAAAGTGGCTAACAACTGGGAAAACCTACCTAATAATGAAAAATCCAGCAAAAGGGGCAACACCAGGTAACTACAGGCCAATTACCTGCTTACCAACAACTTTCAAATTACTAACTGGTGTGGTAGCTGATGCAGTACAACAGCATCTAGTTGAAAACAATCTCTTTCCACCTGAGCAGAAAGGAAACCGCCCCAATAGCAGAGGAACAAAAGATCAACTCCTAATAGACAAAATGATCTTGGAAAACTGCAAGAGAAGGAAGACCAACCTGAATGTGGCATGGATTGACTACAAAAAGGCATTTGACTCTCTGCCACATGATTGGATAATCAAGTGCCTAGAAATAACAGGAGTAAGTAGAAACATCAGAAAATTTGTGCAAAAATCGATGGCACAATGGAAGACACAGTTGCAGATCAATGGTGAAAAGCTGGGAGAGGTTAATATCAAGAGAGGAATATTTCAAGGAGATTCATTATCACCATTACTATTTGTTATTGCACTGTTTCCTCTGTCAACAATACTGAATAACTCAGGACATGGTTATCAAACATCAAAAACATCTGCTAGACTATCCCACCTCCTTTACATGGATGATCTGAAGCTGTATGGAAAAACATCATCTGAAATAGAATCGCTGCTCAACACTGTCCGTATATATAGCCAAGATATTGTAATGGAGTTTGGCTTGGACAAATGTGCCACACTTACTATCAAAAAAGGAAAAATAGTGAAAACTGAAGGAATCAAGATGCCCCACGAAAATAACATTAAGAGTCTGGATGAGGAAGATACTACAAATACTTGGGTATCCTTCAAGCTGACAACATCAAGCACACTGAAGTCAAGAAAAAGATTAGAGGTGAATACATCAAGAGAGTGAAGAAGATCTTAAAATCCAAACTCAATGGAGGAAATACCATAAAGGCAATCAACACCTGGGCAATCCCAGTCATTAGGTACACAGCTGGAATAGTGGACTGGACTCAAGCAGAACTAAAAGCAATGGATAGGCAGACCAGAAAAATAATGACAATGAATCATGCCCTTCATCCACGCAGTGACATTGATAGACTTTATCTACCAAGGCAAATAGGTGGGCGTGGAATGCTACAAGTACATCAGATGGTTGAAGAAGAAAAAATGGCTTTGGAAGAATATCTGAAGAACAATGATGAAGATGCACTGAAATTAGTATATCAGGAAGGCTTACTAACTACTGGAGAGACCAAACTGGCCTACAAGAAAGACCAAATGAAGAACAGAATAGAGGCATGGGAAGACAAAGCACTACATGGCCAATACATTAAAAAAATAGCTGGGAAAGCAGATAATAATAAAACCTGGCAATGGCTAAGAGCAGGAAAATTGAAGAAAGAGACCGAGGGACTAATTCTGGCTGCACAAGACCAAGCCTTAAGGACAAATGCATACAAAGTCAAAATTGAGAAGACAGCAACAGACAGTAAGTGCCGCCTATGCAAAGAAGCTGAAGAAACAGTGGACCACTTGGTAAGCTGTTGCAAGAAGATTGCACAGACTGATTACAAGCAGCGGCATGACAAAGTAGCAACAATGGTGCATTGGAAGATCTGCAAAAAATATCATTTGCCTGTAAGCAAAAACTGGTGGGATCATAAAATAGAGAAAGTCATAGAAAATGATAAAATTAAACTGCTCTGGGACTTCAGAATTCAAACAGACAAGCACCTGCAACATAACACCCCAGACTTAACAATTGTCGATAAGAAAGACAAAAAAGTCTGGATAGTGGACGTGGCAGTGCCTGGAGATAGCAGAATAGAAGAGAAAGAACTGGAGAAGATAACAAAATACAAAGACCTACAAATAGAAATAGAAAGACTGTGGCAAAAGCAAGCAAGGGTAGTACCAATAGTCATAGGCTCCTTGGGTGCAATCCCAAAACAACTGGAGCACCACTTGAACACCATTGGCATTGACAAATTCGCTATTAGTCAATTGCAAAAGGCGGCCTTATTAGGAACTGCTTCCATCCTGCGACGATACCTGTAATACCATCAAACATCCACATCTGCCTATCCCAGGTCCTGGGTAAGGACTCGATAGGTAGACAAAATACCAAATCCAGTCTGAACATCTGGCTGACTGTGCGATGATTGAGAATAATAATAATAATAATAAAGTTGGAAGGGACCTTGGAGGTCATCTAGTCCAACCCCCTGCTCAGGCATTTACCATTTCAGACAAATGGCAGTCCAGTCTCTTCTTAAAAACTTCCAGTGTTGGAGCATTCATCATCAACATATCAAGGAGAGTGAAGGACAGACGTACAAATGCAGTGTCTGAACAGAGTTGGGCTGCTCACAATGTACATACGAAGAATGGCTGTGGGACTTGGGTTTGGATAGTCTAAAGAAAAGAAGGAACAGGGGAGACATGATAGCAGGGTTCCAGTATCTGAGGGGCTGCCACAAAGAAGAGGGGATCAAATTATTCTCCAAAGCACCAGAGGGAAGGACGAGAAACAATGCTTGGAAATTGATCAAGGAGAGAAGCAACCTGGAATTAAGGAGAAACTTCCTGACAGTGAGGACAATCAACCAGTGGAACAGCTTGCCACCAGAAATCATGGGAGATTTTTAAGAAGAGACTAGACATTCACCTGCCTGAGATGGTATAGGTCTGTGGTGGTGAACCTATGGCATGGTGCCACAGGTGGCACGCAGAGCCTTCTCTGTGGGCACACACGCCGTTGCCCCAGTCCTAGGCCTTCAGCTGGGTTTCATAAAACCTTTTCGCTTTAGGCCTCTGCCGGCATGTGCAAAAAAACCCAAAGGTTCAATCAATCAATCAATTTCAACTTTTCATGGAAAAAAAAAGATGTCGCAAAGTTGGAATTGATTGACTGAACTTTTTAGTCTCAGTCTTTAATCCCACGCAGCCACTCTGACCCAATGGGCCACGCCCACCCAGCACCCGACAATACATAAGTGGGTTTTGGGTTGCAGTTTGGGCACTCAGTCCCTAAAAGGTTCACCATCACTGGTATAGATTCTCCTGCTGGAGCAGGGGGCTGGACTAGAAGACCTCCAAGGTCCCTTCCAGTTCTATTCTATTCTATTCTATTCTATTCTATTCTATTCTACTCTACTCTACTCTACTCTACTCTACTCTACTCTACTCTACTCCATTCCATTCCATTCCATTCCATTCTATTCCTTATTCTATTCTATTCTATTCTATTCTATTCTATTCTATTCTATTCTATTCTATTCTATTCTATTCTATTCTATTCCTTATTCTATTCCCATATTCCATTCCATTCCATTCTATTCCATTCCATTCCATTCCATTCCATTCTATTCTATTCTATTCTATTCCCATATTCCATTCCATTCCATTCCATTCCATTCTATTCTATTCTATTCTATTCCTTATTCTATTCTATTCTATTCTATTCTATTCTATTCTATTCTATTCTATTCTATTCTATTCTATTCCTTATTCTATTCCCATATTCCATTCCATTCTATTCTATTCCATTCCATTCTATTCTATTCTATTCTATTCCCATATTCCATTCCATTCCATTCCATTCTATCTATTCTATTCTATTCTATTCTATTCTATTCTATTCTATTCTATTCTATTCTATTTTATTCTATTCTATTCTATTCTATTCTATTCTATTCTATTCTATTCCATTCCATTCCATTCCATTCCATTCCATTCCATTCCATTCTATTCTATTCTATTCCTTATTCTATTCCCATATTCCATTCCATTCCATTCCATTCTATTCTATTCTATTCTATTCTATTCTATTCTATTCTATTCTATTCTATTCTATTCTATATCATACGTGCAAAGATAATGCCAGGTTTTGGAAAGGATTCCTAACTAGGCCACCTCAGGAGAACTGAACGCAGTGCCTGGAATAAGGAAGCTTCATACCTCTCACTTTCTTCCTCCACTCAACTGTTTTGAGTTGGTTCCACCTTAAGAAGCACTAGTGTCTTCACCGGACAACTCTGATAATATTTTATATCATTTTTTTCTTCCATTCAATCCTGTCCCATTCTCAAAAGACTTCCTGGATAGGTCTCTGCCGTTTTCTTGAGAAGGTTTTTTTTTTTCAGAAGTGGTTCGCCACTGCTTCTTTCCTAGGGCTGAGAGAAAGCGACTGGCCCAAGGTCGCCCAGCGTAGCTTTGTGCTTGAGGCGAGACTAGAACTCGTGGATTCCTGGCTTCTAGCCTAACGATTGAATCACTACCCCCAAACTTTATTTATACGGTAATATGCCAAACCAGGTCATCATCCAACCGGACCCGCCATCGGGCAACAGGTGCGAGACCACAGAAAGTGGCGTCTCCGTGTTGGAACAGGAGATTACCCCCAAGGAATCCTACGGCTGCTTAGAGAGAAGAAGGATTGGGCTCTTTCGTCACTTTAATTAATTCGTTCATTAATTAATTTCTGTGCCAACCACCTGTCTGATAACAGCAACTCTGTACCACGCAGGTGCATTAAACCGAGAAGACGAGAGTTGAGTGCAAATCAGAGTCCCAGTGCAGTTTTGTGTTTTTCCCAATAAATTTGCCCTACGGAGCCTTTGGAAACCGCTGAGATGGATTCAGATCCAATTAATGAGCTCGCTATTGTTGTTTTCTCAAGGGAAGAGGGAGAGAGAATTATTTTCTAAAAGTAGGTGGAAGGTCACTGTGACACAGCCCATCCGAAGACTTTGGACCTCTCAGCTCAGCGCCCACTCAAATGAGAAACAGCAGGCAGGGTGGACTAAAGTTATTTAGATAATGGTTACCCAATTTGTCCCAGTTACAATTGCCTGATTTCTTTTTCTTCTCTGCCCGCTGAGCTAACCGTCTTTTTCCCCATTGGAGAGTTGGACGAGGGGAGGGATTGAGTGAGCCTGACGCTGTTTTTGTATTGTTGGAGTTTAAACTTTGCCACATAGTGGGGGGGAAAAAGAGGTTTTGACTGGACAGAGGGACTGAAGACCGGAGAAGAAAATAACCACGACTCAACTTCGCAGCAACAAAAAGCTTTGGGATTCGAAACACTGGGCAAAACCGAATCGAGATCGGAGAACGCTCTCACGAGAGGGTAAGGCGGCGCAATCTCATTTTTTTCCCTCCAGATTAATCCAGTAGGTTCCATCTTTGGAAACAAGTGCAGGACAAAATAAGAGGGCAGAGGTCAGGACTGGGTGCCGAGAAGAGAAACATGCACTAAGCGAGTGGTCCGTGAAGATAAGTCTGCTCATCAGAAGGCGATAGACAAGCAAACAAACTTCGTAGCTTTCAGAAACGCTTCCTTGGATTAGAAGGACCCCGAACTATTCAAATGTCTACAGCGTTTTTATTACATTTTTTTCGAAGCTGGAAAGATCTTCCAAATTACTGGTTGCTTTGTGTTCAGGAGCAAACTGGAAGAATAAATGTCTGGAGGCTGAGCCTTAATCACGGGGTGTCTGTTTTGCCAAGAACACATTGACTGTTATTTATTAACAGAATTTGACAGAATAACAAGAGTTGGAAGGGACCTTGGAGGTCTTCTAGTCCACCCTCCTGCTCAAACAGAAGACCCTATACCAAGGCAGGACAAGAAGCAATGGGTGGAAACTAATCAAGGAGAGAAACAACTGAGAACTAAGGAGAAACTTCCTGACAGTGAGAACAATTAACCAGTGGAACAACCTGCCTCCAGAAGCAGTAAATGCTCCAACACTGGAAGTTTTTAAGAAGAAACTGGGCAGCCATTTGTCCAAAATGGTGTAGGGTTTCCTGCCTGAGCAGGGGGTTGGACTAGATGACCACTAAGGTCCCTTCCAACTTTACTACTATTACTATTCCAATCCCTTAAGGCAGGGGTCCCCAACCCCCAATCCGTGGACCGTGGCATGCCAACACAAACAAACAAAGCCCTCTCTCTGGGCTGCAGGCAGCACATAAAACCACGCACTCTCTGGTCCGTGGAAAAAAACTTTCTCCACAGAACTGGTCCCGGGTGCCCAAAATGTTGGGGGCCTCTGCCTTAAAGTCCCTAGTGATGGAGGACCCACAACTGTAGGCAAGCTGGTCTACTGGTTTATTGTCCTCACTGTCAGGAAGTTTCTCCTTAGTTCCAGGTTGCTCGTCTCCTTGATTCGTTTCCACCCGTTGCTTCTTCTCCTGCCTTCAGACGCTTTGGAGAAAAGCTTGACTCCCTCTTCTTTGGGGCAATCCCTTGAATATTGGAAGACTGCTATCATGTCCCCCCCCCCCCGGTCCTTCTTTTCGCTAGACTAGACTTTATCATTTGAATTTGTAATTTGAATTTATAATTTGAATGGACAGTTTGAATTTATAATTTGGTTTTCGGCACACAGCTTTCCTCGGATCTTCGTGCGGGTTTCTGGAGAAAGAGATAGATACATCGCTGTCAATATACAGACTCATTTATTTACACAGACACAGAACAGATCTGTCTGATTATCTCAGCAGCTTAGTCAAAAGGGTACTGTTTGTACAGAGTGTGTTTCTTGGTGAATCTGTCACAGTTGTGACCGTACCTCCGGTTTTTTTTTAGAAACATTATCATGTATAAACAGAGGCATAGAATCAAGATCACGCGAAGTATTCGTACCACTTTATAAAAACCCCTAGTAAGACCACACCTGGAATACTGCAGCCAATTTTGGTCACCATATCAACAGAGATGTTGAGAGTTTGGAAAAATTTCAGAGAAGAGCAACTAAGATGATCAAAGGCCTGGAGACCAAAATATATGAAGAACGGCTGCAGGACTTGGGTTTGGCCAGTCTAAAGAAAAGAAGAAATAGGGGAGACATGATAGCATTGTTCCAGTATCTAAGGGGCTGCCACAAGGCAGAGGGGGGCCAGGTTGTTCACCAAAGCACCAGAGGGAAGGACGAGAAACAAAGGTTGGAAACTGGTCAAGGAAAGAAGCAACCTGGAATTAAGGAGAAATTTCCTGACAGTGAGGACAATGAACCAGTGGAACTCCTTGCCTCCAGGAATCGTGGGCGCTCCATCACTGGTGTTTTTAAAGAAGAGACTAGACATTCACCTGTCTGAGATGATGTAGGTTCTCCTACTGGAGCAGGGGGCTGGACTAGAAGATCTCCAAGGTCCCTTCCAGCTCTATTCTATTCTATTCTATTCTAGTCTAGTCTATTCTAGTCTAGTCTAGTCTAGTCTACTCTAGTCTAGTCTAATCTAGTCTATATTTTCTATTCTATTCTATTCTATTCTATTCTATTCTATTCTATTCTATTCTATTCTATTCTATTCCATATTTTCTATTCTATTCTATTCTATTCTATTCTATTCTATTCTAGTCTAGTCTAGTCTAGTCTAGTCTATTCTATATTTTCTATTCTATTCTATTCTATTCTATTCTATTCTATTCTATTCTATTCTATTCTATTCTATTCATATTTTCTATTCTATTCTATTCTGTTCTATTCTATTCCATATTTTCTATTCTATTCTATTCTATTCTATTCTATTCTATTCTATTCTATTCTATTCTATTCTATTCTATTCTATTCTATTCTATTCTATTCTATTCTATTCTATTCTATTCTATTCTATTCTATCTATTCTATTCTATTCCATATTTTCTATTCTATTCTATTTTCTATTCTATTCTATTCTATATATTCTATTCTATTCTATTCTATTCTATTCTATTCTATTCTATTCTATTCTATTCTATTCTATTCTATTCTATTCTAGTACAGGTAATCTTCGTCTTACAATCATAATGGAGCTAGGAATTTTCACTGTAAGTTAGGATAGTCATATGTTGAGACCAGACCTGATTTTTTGACAGCCCCCTTTACAGTACTTTGCGAACACAGGGTAGAGCCGAAAGTGCCTCTTGGCACAGGTAAACTAACTGGTAGAGGTAGACCTTTCAGGTTAGGCATCCTTCATTGAAGATAAACTCTAAAATGCTGGTTCCCATGGTCAAAAATGAAGAGGCGGTTTTAAAAGGAACGTGGGAATACATCTTTGAACAAATGGCATTATCTGTTTGTTTTGATGGGCTTTATTTACATGAACTGGTTAAGGCTCTGCAGGATTTCAGGTGAGACTCCCCCCACCCAAAGGTGCTGACGTTTTCTGCCTGCAAAATAAAAATAAAAATCAGTTGGCGAGTTTTAGCTGTCCAATATCAGTGGACAATAACACCGAAGTCACTGTCTCTGAAAGTTTTCCAAAAGATTCTGTATAAAGGAGTGGGAAGACCTAGGGACGTATTTGAAAAACAGACATGGCACAGAGATGGAAGAGGATGAGAGGAAAAATGGCCGAGAGAAAAATTCAGGAAAATAATTTAATACTCCCACTTTAACCAATACCTGGGAGGAGTGGATGGTGGCTATTGTAATCTACTAGAAAGGGCAATTTTGAAATGAGGATATTTCCTACTGAAGGCAACCAAAAATGCACCATCTCTTCCACCTGCATCGAGGGGACACGCACCAGCGCACGCTACAGAGTGGAAGCACCAGTTTTGCTGTTGAAGTTTATTTGTTTATGTATTTATTAATCAGATTTATAGGGCTATCCATCTCCTGGAAAGGACTCTGGATGGCCGACGTCGGTTAAATTGAAAACAGTTCGTATGTAAACCATAACAATGTAAAAATGCTATTAGAAGCTAAATGTTTTTAAAATATGTAAAAATATGTAAAATCTAGCTAACATTTTAGATTTGGATCCCATTGTTCTTAAATAGGCTTTTCTTAACCGGCGAAAATCATGTCGCAAGTCGCAGGCGCTTGATTGCGGAACACAGTTGACCAGTCGTAAAAGTGACCCTCGCGAAATTTGGTCATGGGATTATAGAGGGAAGGCGGCATAATTATTTACAACGGCCAGTGTCTGTGTGTGTGTGTGTGTGTGTGTGTGTGTGTGTGTGTGTATTTATGGGCCGTCAATCATCTATTCTGTGACTATAACTTCAAACTGTTGTAAAGGATTGGTCATTAAGCAAATGCTACTTGTAAATTAAGAAGAGGGAATCAAGCTATTTTCCAAAGCGCCTTAAGGCAGGACAAGAAGCAATGGGTGGAAACTAATCAAGGAGAGAAGCAACCTAGAACTAAGGAGAAACTTCCTGACAGTGAGAACAATTAATCAGTGGAACAACCTGCCTCCAGAAGCGGTGAATGCTCCAACGCTGGAAGTTTTTAAGAAGAGACTGGACAGCCATTTGTCCGAAATGGTGTAGGGTTTCCTGCCTGAGCAGGGGGTTGGACTAGATGACCTCCAAGGTCCCTTCCAACTTTACTACTATTACTAAGATTAATCTGTTTGGAGTCATGCATAGCTATTACAGACAATCCTCGTCTTACAACCACAACTGAGGGGACACGCACCAGCGCACGCTACACAGTGAAACCACCAGTTTTGCTGTTGAAGTTTATTTTTTTATATATTTATTAATCAGATTTATATGGCTATCCGTCTCCTGGAAAGGACTCTGGATGGCCGACGTCGGTTAAATTGAAAACAGTTCGTATGTAAACCATAACAATGTAAAAATGCTATTAGAAGCTAAATGTTCTTAAAAATATGTAAAATCAAAGTTTAGCTAACATTATAGATTTGGATCCCATTGTTCTTAAATAGGCTTTTCTTAACCGGCGAAAATCATGTCGCAAGTCGCAGCCGCTTGATTGCGGAACACAGTTGACCAGTCGTAAAAGTGACCCTCGCGAAATTTGGTCATGGGACCATAGAGGGAAGGCAGCATAATCATTTACAATGGCCAGTGTCTGTGTGTATGTCTTTGTGTGTGTGTGTGTGTGTGTGTGTGTGTGTCTGTGTGTCTGTGTGTACTTATGGGCCGTAAATCATCTGTTCTGTGACTATAACTTCAAACAGTTGTAAAGGACTGGTCATTAAGCAAATGCTACTTGTAAATTAAGATGAATTTAGTGTGCATAGCTACTACAGGCAATCCTCGTCTTACAACCACAACTGAGCCTAGAATTTCTGTTGCTAAGCGAGTCAGATGTTCATCGAATTTTGCCCCACTTTACAACCTTTCTTTCCACAGTCGTTAAGCGAATCACTGCAGTTGTTAAAAGAATCTGGCTTCCCCATGGACTTTGCTCGTCGGAAGCTCGCAAAAGGGATCACATGACCATGGGACATTGCGACAGTCATAGATAGGAGCCAGTGGCCAGGCGTCTGAATTTTGATCACGTGACCACAGGGGAGGCTGCGATGGTCGTAAGTGTGAAAACTGGTCATAAGTCACTTTTTCAGTGCCATGGTCATTAAACGAATTGTGGCTTATTGTATACAGGTCAGTCAAGGACTACCTGTATACAATAAGCCACAATTGCTCCTTTCCCATGCTCGCGTCAAACCAGTAAACCTTATCATGGTATAAAGCAGTGTTTCTTAACATTTTTAATGCCGCGACCCCCAACCAGTCGTAAGTCGAGGACTACCCAACTGGTACAGCACTGTTTGCAGAATGGGACTTTTGGCGGGCTCAGCAGGGCAGACACAGCCTGGACAATTCCTATTGGCTTTTGAAAGCCAATAGAATTAGACTCTATTCAAGAGAGTCTCTTCTATTGGCTTTCAAAAGCCAATAGAATAAAAGGGAGTAGCACAGCTAAGGAAAAGGGGGAAAAAATGGCAGACTGCGTTGTTTGGCGACCCCCGTGAAATGGTCGTTCGACCCCAAATGGGGTCCCGACCCACAGGTGGAGAACCGCTGGTATAAAGTGACAACTGGGGTGATGCAACTAATGAACATGTTGACTTCGATTCTTTTAACAGATTCAACTAACTCCATGTTTAACGAGCTTGTTTGTTGGGTCCACCCAGCGCTGCATAAGTAGCAGTAGCTCCTGAGCCTAACTCGTCTTCTCTCTCTTGCAGTTATGGCCTGCCCCAGTCTTGACGGCGTGGAGTTATTGGATCTCCTCTTTGACGGGCAGGACGGAGTCCTTCGCAATGTGGAGCTGGGATCCTCAGAGGCCGCTTGGATGGCACAAGAAGGCAGAGTGAGCAGATGGCACCGGGTTGAGAAAGGGGGCAGCAGCTGGGAAGACCTAGGAACAGGGGTAGGCAACCTTGGCTCTTTTAGGACTTGTGGACTTCAGTACCCATCATTCCTGAACCAGCCATGCTGGCCCAGGAATTCTGGGAGTTGAAGTCCACGAGTCATAAATGAGCCAAGGTGGCCTACCCCTGACCTAGGAGAATAGCGTTAACTGCTCCATTGCAGCAAAAAGTACTGAAAATATCCTATGCCAGTGGTGGCGAACCTATGGCACGGGTGCCAGAGGTGGCAGTCAGAGCCCTCTCGGTGGGCACGCGCACCGTTGCCCCAGTCCTAGGCCTTCAGCTGGAATTTATAAAACCTTTTCACTTTAGGCCTCGGCCGTCGTGTGCAAAAAAAAAAAAGGTTCAATCAATCAATCAATTTCAACTTCTCGCGGGGAAAAAAAAGGATCTTGCAAAGTTGGAATGGATTGATTGAACTTTTTAGTCCCACCCAGTCTGCTGTTACCACCGCAGCCACGCTACCCAATGGGCCACGCCCACCCGGCACTCGACAATGCATAAGTGGGTTTTGGGTTGCTGTTTGGGCACTCCGTCTCTAAAAGGTTCACTATCACTGTCCTATGCTCAATGCCAAACTTTGTAGCCCAACACTTGGAGGTTAATATCACAAACAAGAGGAAGTTAAACAATAGTGGTAGAAGAAGCACATTTGCCAGAAGAAGCATATTTACATCCCCTGAAAGGAGAAATACTGAAACACTTCTTGTTGAAGAAATACAGAAACGTGCAACAAAGCACAAATGAAGCCCAGAAAAGTGTTAGGAAGAAACTCAAGACTGCCCCATCTTGACTCTCATTAGTATAAGAGGAAGACACACTCTCAAGCTTTCAAAATTCTGCTATTATTGCCCAAATTAGCAGAGTTTCGGTATCACTTGTAGAGTCTCTTTTCTTACCTGGGCCTATCTTGTGGGTCTGACAGTGCCCTTGACTAAAGCAATGGGTCAGTTCCCAACTGAAAATTTTCTACTCATTATTTTGCAAACAGAACAGAAGTGGGGAGGAAGAGGGATACCAATAAAGGAGAATATGTGTAGCTAAGGGTTGAAATGAGGGATCATTTGGTTGTTTTCTCTGAGCTTGGTTGTTTTCTTGCAGACATTTCGTTACCCAAATTAGATAAAGCACTCATGATGTAGCTAGTTTCTTGGAATGTATTTTTATGCAACAACTACAATAGTATTCAGCCAGTAGATGGCAGTATTTACAAGTTTGGATCTATGGTATATATATTCTGCTTTTCTGTTCTGAGTACAATTTCCTGTTTCCTGTTATATAGTTGAGCAGTAAAGCACATGGTGACAGTACCCTTTATTTGCTCTATATCAGTGGTTCTCAACCTTTTTAATGCCGCAACCCCCAACTGGTCTTAAGTCGAGGACTACTCAACCGGTCGTAAGTCGAGGACTACTCAACTGGTGCAGCACCGTTTGCAGAATGGGGCTTTTGACGGGCTCAGCAGGGCAGAGACAGCCTGGACAATTCCTATTGGCTTTTGAAAGCCAATAGAATTAGACTCTATTCAAGAGAGTCTATTCTATTGGCTTTCAAAAGCCAATAGAATAAAAGGGAGTAGCACAGCTAAGGAAAAGGGGGGGGGGAATGGCAGACTGCGTTGTTTGGCGACCCCCCGTGAAATGGTCGTTTGACCCCAAATGGGGTCCCGACCCACAGGTTGAGAACCACTGCTCTATATGGTGCAATATATATAAACAGAATTTCTAACAAAAAACAAAACCAAGTTCAGAGAGCACCAAGGACCCCTCAGAGGGACACCAGCTTAATTCTGGTCTTCCATTTTACTAGGTATTATTCTTAGTAGGTATTATTGCCCTCTTTGCAATTCAGACAAAAATGGCTTATTTTTCAATGAATCGAACATTGAGAATATCCTGTTTCAGGGCCTGGTTAAAATGGTTCAGAATGATACTAATGGTTTATGTAACATCCAAGAGTTTTGAGTTTGCTCTGTTGAAGCTTTGCTTGCAGGAAGGTGGCTTTCTAAGAGGGGCTTTTTCATGGAGCACCTCTACGCTCTATCGGTAGGTTTTGCTGAACCCTCAAGACAATGACGACTTCATCAACTCCATCTTGGGAGCGGCAAACACGGTCCTAGATTCTCCAAGCTGGTCTCCAGCTGCCAGTGACAGTGGCATATCTGAGGATCCAAATTCTGATCAGCTGGACAGCCCTCCACATTATCTTCCCACTGGGAGCCCGGAGGCCTACTCTGACGGAAGCTCAGCCGGTGACCTGGCCTACGCCTCCTGCCAGGACACCCGTCAGGCCTTACCTACCATAAAAGAACCAGCTGCCGAGATGAGAGAGATGGATGTCTCCATAGACTTCAGTGAGTACCCTGTTTCCCTTTGTTAGAAGTAAAGTCTTCATCCCGGTTCATCCAAGCCGGGAATAAATAAGCAAACATGGCGACTGCTTTCGGAAGAAGGTTACAGTTTATTGCAGAAAGATGGTTCTTCAGGAAAGTGCAGAGGAGAGAAGGGCTGAGCACATGGGGTAGTAGGCTTTTATACCCGCTCTAGCCTCATTTGGAATGGTTTCCTGTTCCTGCGGCATGAACCTTGAGGCTGTTTCTGAGTGTTTGTCTAGGCCTTCATATCTGTGGTTTAATCCTATTATCCTATCCTGCTTCCCAGGTGATGGGGCTCATGACTCCTAGAGTTTGGGTGGGGTATGCAGATCTTCTCTTTTGTCTTCTTGATTGCTCTGGCTTCAATTTTCTGATGGTTTTACATCTGCATTTGTATGGGGCTAAAGTCTTGCTTGGGGCAGAGAGATAGATTTGGGGCCAGGTTTGGTTTTAAAAAGTCCTTTTGAGGAAAAATATATTTTTCTGCCCTTGTTAATATTTCTTTCTCTGGGCTAACTTCCCTCACCTTCCTGGAATGTTAAACCAGGTGAACCCCCCCGTCTCTGGGGCACTGGAGAGAAGGCTACATGGCGTCCACACACTTAAGCAGAGAAAATGAGGGCATAGACACCGTCTGGTCCATTGGTGTGAACGCCATTTTTCACCAGCCCCATTCAGTCCTTTTTCCAAAATGGTCTAGGGCAGCGGTTCTCAACCTGGGGGTCGGGACCCCATTTGGGGTCGAACGACCATTTCACGAGGGTCACCAAACAACGCAGTCCACCAATTTTTTCCCCCTTTTCCTTAGCTGTGCTTCTCCCTTTTATTCTATTGGCTTTCGAAAGCCAATAGAATAGACTCTCTTGAATAGAGTCTAATTCTATTGGCTTTCCAAAGCCAATAGGAATTGTCCAGGCTGTCTCTGCCCTGCTGAGCCCGCCCAAAGTCCCCTTCTGCAAACGGTGCTGCACCAGTTGAGTAGTCCTTGACTTACGACCGGTTGAGTAGTCCTCGACTTACCACCGGTTGGGGGTCGCGGCATTAAAAAGGTTGAGAACCACTGGTCTAGGGCATTGGTTCCATGGAGAAAGGGTTTTTCCGTGGATGAGAGGGTGCGTGGTTTTGCGTGCTGCTTGCATCCTGCAGATGGGGCTTTGCTTGTTTGTGCAGACCGGTTGCGGGTATGCCGCGGCCCGGTACCGGTCCATGGACCAGGGGTTGGGGACCCTGGTCTAGGGTCTAGGGCAGGGGTGTCAAACTCAATTTCATTGAGGGCCGCATCAGCATTGGGGTTGCCCTCGGGGGCCCGGGTGGGTGTGGCCAGGGTGGGTGCGGCCTACTGGGTGGGCATGGATGGAGTCGGTGTAGCCTACTGGGTGGGCATGGCCAGCTCTACATCGTTCACGTCCAGGGTGCCTGTGGGGGCCTGGGCAGGAGTGGGACAGATCTGAGGGTCTCTGGCAGAAGGGGTGGGGACCGGGGCAAGTGCCAAGGCATGGTGCATTTCTTCAATCCTCACAAAGGGTGACCCCTCCCCAGCATGCACCCAGGGGGCAGGGCCGACACAGCAGGGGCTGGTTCCTCACTGTTTCCAGACGGCCTTGTGGAGCTAAGACTGAATGCATTTCAGCATAGAGGGCCACCCCAAAATTGTACATGGGCTCCCGGCCGGCCTGGGCCAGGGCCAAGTCAGCGGGGGCCGTTCCCTCACTGTTTCCAGGATGGCTTCGCGGGCCACATGAAACCACTTCGCGGGTCACATCCAGCCCCTGGGCCTTGTGTTTGACATGTCTGGCCTAGGGTTTCCTGCTTGAGCAGGGAGCTGGACTAGATGACCTCCAAGGCCCCTTCCAGCTCTGTTATGCTGCTAAACAGAGAGAAGGAAAATGAGCTCAGAATACACAGAGGGTATATTGCTATCGTTATATGTGATATATGTAGACAGATTATGGGTAGTTACCCCAAAGGAACAAGATCTATAAATTGGCTTCCGCAGGATCCATTTAGTCCTCGACTTACAGCCACAACTGAGCCCCACATTTCGGTCCCTAAGCGAATTTTGCCCAGTTTTACGACTTTTCTCGCTACATTTGTGAAGCGAATCACTGCAGTTATTAAATTTGTAACCCCGTTGTCAAGGGAACCTGGCCTCCCCATTGACTTTGCTGGTTAGAAGGTTGCAAAAGGGGATCACATGATTTCCCCCCTCCCCCCGGGACACTGGGACTGTCATAAATAGGATCCAGTTGCCAAGCATGTTAATTTTGATCCCGTGACCATAGGAATTCTGCAACGGTCACAGGTACGGAAAATAGTCACAAGTCACTTTTTTCAGTGCCGCTGTAACTTTGAGCAGTCACTAAACGAACTGTTGTAAGTTGAAGACTCCCTGGCTTACAAATCCTTGATCTAACCATCCGTACGTGAGATTTAGTGTTAAAATAACTTTAACATTGTGATTTAACATTAAATCACAATCTAGTGGACAGGCTACGCATAGATATGGCTGCCCTCTCAAGAGTGAGGATAATAAGTAACAACAACAACAACAATAATAATGTTGAAAGGGACCTTGGAGGTCAACTAGACCAACCCCCTGCTCAGGCAGGAGACTCTATAACATTTCAGACAATTGGTTGTCCAGTCTCTTCTTAAAAACTTCCAGTGTTGGAGCATTCACCGCTTCTGGAGGCAGGTTGTTCCACTGGTTAATTGTTCTCACTGTCAGGAAGTTTCTCCTTAGTTCCAGGTTGCTTCTCTCCTTGATTAGTTTCCACCCGTTGCTTCTTGTCCTATTCTGTTCTATTCTATTCTATTCTATTCTATTCTATTCTATTCTACTCTACTCTACTCTACTCTACTCTACTCTACTCTACTCTACTCTACTCTACTCTACTCTAGTTTTGAACATGTTTTTCAGTTGACTTGATTCAACCGTTTTCTCCTTTTAAGCCAACCTTGGCGACTTTAAGACCTGTGGACTTCAATTCCCAGAATTCTCCAGCCACGGCTGGGGAACGCCACAAATCTTAAAAGTTGTCAAGGTTGGCACTTTGGAAAATAGCTTGACTCCCTCTTCTTTGGGGCAGCCCCTGAGATATTGGAAGACCGCTATTATGTCCCCCCTGGTCCTTCTCTTCATTAAACTAGACATACCCAATTCCAGCAACTGTGTCAGGCATCCAGTTTGATCCCTCAAAGGTGCTTCAGACTATACCGGAGCACAAAAATAACCCTTTAAAACAGCCACATCTTTTCCCTGAACTGCAAAAGCAGCTGGTGATGACAGAAGTGACATTTGATTTGTGGCCTTGAAAACAGTCCAGGAAACGTGCTGTCTAAGGACTTTCAAAATTATTATTATTATTATGGATCATCGCACAGTCAGCCAGATGTTCAGACTGGATTTGGCATTTTGTCTACCTATCGAGTCCTTACCCAGGACCTGGGATAGGCAGATGTGGATGTTTGATGGTATTACAGATATCGTCGCAGGATGGAAGCAGTTCCTAGTAAGGCCGCCTTTTGCAATTGACTAATAGCAAATTTGTCAATGCCAATGGTGTTCAAGTGGTGCTCCAGTTGTTTTGGGATTGCACCCAAGGAGCCTATCACTATTGGTACTACCCTTGCTTGCTTTTGCCACAGTCTTTCTATTTCTATTTGTAGGTCTTTGTATTTTGTTATCTTCTCCAGTTCTTTCTCGTCTATTCTGCTGTCTCCAGGCACTGCCACGTCCACTATCCAGACTTTTTTGTCTTTCTTATCGACAATTGTTAAGTCTGGGGTGTTATGTTGCAGGTGCTTGTCTGTTTGAATTCTGAAGTCCCAGAGCAGTTTAATTTTATCATTTTCTATGACTTTCTCTATTTTATGATCCCACCAGTTTTTGCTTACAGGCAAATGATATTTTTTGCAGATCTTCCAATGCACCATTGTTGCTACTTTGTCATGCCGCTGCTTGTAATCAGTCTGTGCAATCTTCTTGCAACAGCTTACCAGGTGGTCCACTGTTTCTTCAGCTTCTTTGCATAGGTCAGCACTTACTGTCTGTTGCTGTCTTCTCAATTTTGACTTTGTATGCATTTGTCCTTAAGGCTTGGTCTTGTGCAGCCAGAATTAGTCCCTCGGTCTCTTTCTTCAATTTTCCTGCTCTTAGCCATTGCCAGGTCTTGTTATTATCTGCTTTCCCAGCTATTTTTTTAATGTATTGGCCATGTAGTGCTTTGTCTTCCCATGCCTCTATTCTGTTCTTCATTTGGTCTTTCTTGTAGGCCAGTTTGGTCTCTCCAGTAGTCAGTAAGCCTTCCTGATATACTAATTTCAGTGCATCTTCATCATTGTTCTTCAGATATTCTTCCAACGCCATTTTTTTTAAATTATTATTATTATTATTATTATTATTATTATTATTTCCAGTCATTTGCACTTATCCTGCAATAATTTACACCTTTTTTGCTGGCTTCCAGTGTTTATGTAAGGTTGCCATACCCTAAAAGTGGTACAATGGGTGAAAAGGTTGAAAAGCCCTGCTCTAATCCAGGGGTCTCCAACTTAACTGCGAAAGTAACAAACCAACCGTGAGAGGGATCTTGGAATCTTAGTGGACAATCCATTAAATATGAGCCAAGGGTGTGCTACAACAGCCAAAAAAAGCCAGGAGAATCCTAAGTTGCATTAACAGAGGGATTCAATCAAGATTCAATCAAGTTAGCCTTAGCAACTCTCAGAGTTGAAGTCCATTTATATTAAAATTGCCACGGTTGAGAAGCACTGGAGTAACCATTGCAACACAATAAGACCCCGAGTGCTAAGTGGAGTTGGGAACAATTCAGGTGGCCTCAGAATTGTGAGTGTGACGTTTTCATTAGGCAGCAAAGTGAAGCCGAAGAACTTTTTAGGATCATAAGATCCTGACTGTTGCAGGATGAAACCTAAAATGTTTGTGCTTTTAGTGTAAAATTAATATTCTCTTCCTCCAGGTGTGCACTCATGTTAACTTTGTTGTTATCAAATGATCACCAGAAAGACTTGACTGACCTCTGAGGTGTGGCTGTCAGGCAGATAAGATAATAATGTACTGGAAGAACAAATTTTATCTACTCCAAAGCAGTTTTCCATGTACATTGAAAAGCTGGATTTTTTTCTGTTCCCTAACCAGCAGGTTCCTTCAAGAAAAACGAAATGCACGGGTATAGTATAGGGGGTACCTTACTCAATAGTAGTAACTGTGAGAGGGACCTCGGAGTCCTAGTGGACAATCCCTTAAATAGGAGCCAGCCATGTGTTGCAGCTGCCAAAAAGGCCAACACAGTGCTGGGCTACATTAACAGAGGGATAGAATGAAGATCACAGGAAGTATTAATACCACTTTACAAGGCCTTGGTAAGGCCACACTTGGAATTCTGCATCCAGTTTTGGTCACCACGATGTAAAAAAGATGTTGAGACTCTGGAAAGAGTACAGAGAAGAGCAACAAAGATGATTAGGGGACTAGAGGCTAAAGCATATAAGGAAAGGCTGCTGGAATTGGGTATGTCTAGTTTAATGAAGAGAAGGACGAGGGGGGACAGGATAGCAGTCTTCCAGTATCTCAGGGGCTGCCCCAAAGAAGAGGGAGTCAAGCTCTTCTCCAAAGCGCCTGAAGGCAGGACAAGAAGCAACGGATGGGAACTAACCAAGGAGAGAAGCAACCTAGAACTAAGGAGAAACTTCCTGACAGTGAGAACAATTAACCCGTGGAACAACCTGCCTCCAGAAGTAGTGAATGCTTCAACACTGGAAGTTTTTAAGAAGAGACTGGACAGCCATTTGTCTGAAATGGTATAGGGTCTCCTGCCTGAGCAGGGGGTTGGACTAGATGATCTCCAAGGTCCCTTCCAACTTTATTACTACTACTACTACTACTATATTATTATTATTATTATTATTATTATTATGGATCATCACACAGTCAGCCAGATGTTCAGACTGGATTTGGCATTTTGTCTACCTATCGAGTCCTTACCCAGGACCTGGGATAGGCAGATGTGGATGTCTGATGGTATTACAGATATCGTCGCAGGATGGAAGCAGTTCCTAGTAAGGCCGACTTTTGCAATTGACTAATAGCGAATTTGTCAATGCCGATGATGGTGTTCAAGTGGTGCTCCAGTTGTTTTGCACCCAAGGCACCTATTACTACTACTACTACTACTACTACTACTACTACTGCTACTGCTACTACTACTACTACTACTACTACTACTACTACTACTATTATTATTTTCTTTGCAGGTATGTGGGCTGCTGGTTTTTATGCAGAGGAGAGGCAAATAACAGATGCCACCCATCAAAACCCAGCCTCCTGCATGCTCACAATTAAGGACCTCCTTCTTTCCAACAACTCTGAAATGGCAAGTATTTCAATCGTAATAAGGATGATGGAGTTATCTAGAAATCCAGTTATTGTTTTTTACAGTTATTTCTAAGAGCACTTGAAAACGCTTTCTAATGAATCAGATTTGACTCTGGGAAGAGTGCAACAAAGATGATTGGGGGGGGGTAGATGGCAAAACATCTATGGTACTTGGTTCAATAGTAGCAACTGTGAGAGGGACCTCGGAGTCCTAGTGGACAATCACTTAGATAGGAGCCAGCCGTGTGCTGCAGCTGCCCAAAAAATCCAACACAGTGCTGGGCTGCATGAACAGAGGGATAGAATCAAGATCACGTGAAGGGTTACTACCACTTTACAAGGCCTTCGGAAGGCCACACTTAGAATCCTGCATCCAGTTTTGGTCACCACGATGTAAAAAAGATGCTGAGACTCTAGAACAGTGGTTCTCAACCTTTTTAATGCCGCGACCCCCAACCGGTCGTAAGTCGAGGACTACTCAATTGGTGCAGCACCGTTTGCAGACTGGGGCTTTTGGCGGGCTCAGCAGGGCAGAGACAGCCTGGACAATTCCTATTGGCTTTTGAAAGCCAATAGAATTAGACTCTATTCAAGAGAGTCTATTCTCTTGGCTTTCAAAAGCCAATAGAATAAAAGGGAGTAGCACAGCTAAGGAAAAGGGGGAAAAAAATGGAAGACTGCGTTGTTTGGCGACCCCCGTGAAATGGTCGTTCGACCCCAAATGGGGTCCCGGCCCACAGGTTGAGAACCACTGCTCTAGAAAGAGGGCAGAGAAGGGCCATAAAGATGATTAGGGGACTGGAGGCTAAAACCTATTAAGAACAGTTACAGGAATTAGGTATGTCCAGGCTAATCCAAAGAAGGACCAGGGGTGGCATGATAGCAGTCTTCCAATATCTGAGGGGCTCCTACAAAGACGAGGGGGTTAAACTATTCTCCAAAGCACCAAAATACAAGGCGAGAAACAACGGATGGAACCTCACCAAGGAGAGAACCAACCTGGAATGAAGGATAAATTTTCTAACAGTGAGAACAATTAACCAGTGGAACGACTTGCCTCCAGAAGTTGTGGGTGCTCCATCGCTGACTATTTTTAAGAAGAGACTGGACTACTGCTTTCTCTGGAATGGTAGAGGGCAGAAGGTCTTCAACCCTGGCCCTTTTATGACTCGTGGACTTCAACTCCCAGAATTCCTCAGCCAGCATGGCTCAGCTTGGAAACCTCTCCCTGTTCCCTCAGCGTGGCTGGCTCAGGAATTCTGGGAGTTGAAGTCCACGAGTCATAAAAGAGCCAAGTTTGAAGACCCCTGAATTAGAGAGGGCTGACTCATGCATGAGGCAATCTACACTCTGATTGGTTGCTGTGGGCAATCCCCCTTTCCCCACCTTTTTTCCTCTGTGTGTTCTGTATACTGTTTGATTTAGCTCAGGATCTGCGTGACTATCTTGTGTTTTTCCTTTCTGGATGATGATAAGAACGTTAATTTAATGTGCCTGGCTGAGGAATTCTGGGAGTTGAAGTCCACAAGTCATAAAAGGGCGAGGGTGGAAGACCCCTGGTATCAAGTCTCCTGCTTGAGCAGTGGGCTGGACTAGAACACCTCTGAAGTCCCTTCCAACTCTGTCATTCCATATTCTTCAATGGGGGATGTCTAGAAACCCAGTTTGTTTTTGGACGGTTATTTCTAAGAACACTGAAGATGCTTCTTCTAGCTCAGACCATTCTCACCTTGTGCTGTTCTAGCACCAGCAGGCTGTCAACTCTGCAGCGATGAGGCAGACCCCAGGGAATTGCCAGGAGCTGGTGCTGACCGAGGATGAGAAGAAACTGCTGACTAAGGAAGGGGTGACTCTTCCAACCCAGCTCCCGCTCACCAAGGTAAGCCACACTGAGTCTGTGCTTTTTCTGCAGTCGTTAAGCGAATTAGGCCGTAGTTAAGTGAATTAGGCCATCATCAAACAAATTTGGCTTCCCCCATTGAGTTTTCTTGTCGGAAGGTTGCAGATGGTGATCCTGTGTGTTCTGTCCCAGCCTGTGTGGATCCTTGTTAATTCACAAGGACAAACCCCTCTTTTAAAAAGTAGGCTAGAAATGCAGGGAAAACAAACCCCTTTGATTAATTAGGTACAGACCTGCAAAATGTCCCAAAAGCGAAGGCAAACAAAACACGGAGAATTGTTCACAGGCAAGGCAAACAGAATCCGATGCCATGAAACTTAAGTCCTTTGCAAACGGTTGCCTTCAGCAATCAGCACCGCCCACACCTTCCCTTTTTATTATGCAGCCCCAAGGCGTGGCTTCTCAATGCCTTCTCCTCCTTGGTGTTGCCCCATTGCCTCCCTCTGTCCTGCTCTTGTTGCCTGTCTGCATTTGCGAGCATCTATGACAGCGATGGCAAACCTTTTAGAGACCGAGTGCCCAAACTGCAACCCGAAACCCACTTATGAATCGTTGGGTGCCGGGTGGGTGTGGTCCATTGGGTGGGCGTGGCTTATTGGGTGGGCATGGCTGCGGTGGTAATGGCAGACAGGGTGGGACTAAAAAGTTCAATCCATCCATTCCAACTTTGCAAGATCTTTTTTTTTCCCGCGAGAAATTGAAATTGATTGATTGATTGAACCTCTTTTTTGTGTGTACACGGTGGCGCAGGCCTAAAGCGAAAAGGTTTTATAAAACCCAACTGAAGGCCTAGGACTGGGGCGATGGTGTGCGTGCCCACAGAAAGGGCTCTGAGTGCCACCTATGGCACCCGCGCCATAGGTTCGCCACCACTGATCTATATTGACTTCCAGCTGTGAGTCCTCAGAGTCTGGCTCAGCATCCCAGCACAGCTGGGTCTGAGCCTGAGCACAAGTGGAGGGGCCAGGCTCTTCATCAGATTGGAAGTCCTGGAGCTCATCGGCGCCTTCCTCCTCCTCTGATGTTACTCCAGGCCCCTCCTCCTCCTCTGATTCCCCAGACTCCGTTGCTGGGTCTACTGGCCGGCACAGACTCACAACAATGTGACCGGTCGGTGCAACTATCATAAAAACTTGCCAAGTGCCCAAATTAATGGTTGTTAAGTGAATCTGGCTCCCTCGTTAGCTTTGCTTGTCAGAAGGTCACAAAAGGGGATCACACGATCCTAGCACACTGCAACTGTCATAAATATGAGTCAGGTGCCAAGCGTGTGAGTTTTGAGCACGTGACCCCGGGGATGCTGCATCGGCTGCAAGTGTGAAAAACAGTCACAAGTGACTTTTTTTTTTCCAGTGCTGTTGTAACTTTGAACAGACACTAGACAAATTGTCATAAGTCAAGGACCACCTGTATCACAACTGTCCTGAACCACACCCACTGGAAAATACTGGGACTCTGGTCCAGAATGAATGCAATGAGAATGTCCTTGATGTACTTTTTAAAATAAAGGGCTTCAGTCATTGCACCTTATTTCACAAACGGACCAAAAAACTCTTCGGGTTTCATATAAAGAAATGGATATCGTTAAAAACAAAACGACTAGCTAAGCTGGATCTCTTTGCATCGGCAGTATGAGGAACGCATTCTCAAGAAGATCCGTAGAAAGATCCGGAACAAACAATCGGCTCAGGAAAGTCGCAAGAAACGGAAGGAATACATTGATGGTTTAGAAAGCCGGTATGTTATTTTCCCCCTTCAACATTTTGAGTTTGATCTTGCTGAAAGAAAAAAAATCAGGTCTGGTTCCAAGCTGGGAATAAAATGGAGGCTGCTTTTGAAAGAAGTTTTCTGTTTATTGATGAGCAGAACCAGCAACAGCATGCCGTTCTGGGGCAACTGACCAAATGGAGTTGCGAGTGGGTGGATCTTTATGGATATCTGAGACTTCGAAGTGGAAATATTTCTGGGTTGTGCAATGAGGTGGGCTTTTGTGTCTTTTGTTAGTCTAATGCTGGTGGGTTAATCCTTATTATGTCCTAAAGGTCATGTCCTATCCTTAGAATTTGGGTTGTTGTTGTTAATTGCGAAGTCGTGTCTGACCCATCGCGACCCCATTAGTACTGTCCATGGGGTTTTCATGGCAAAGATACTGGAGTGGTTTGCCATTTCCTTCTCCAGTGGATCACATTTTGTCAAAACTCTCTGCTATGATCTGTCCGTCTTGGGTGGCCCTGCACGGCATAGCTTATAGCTTCATTGAGTTACGCAAGCCCCTTCGCCACGACAAGGCAGTAATCCATAAAGGGGAGAATTTGGGTAGGGGAATGTAAATTCTTAATCCCATCAGCTCTGGGGCTGAAGGCGTTTTCTTTACGAATAGATTGGCCCCCGTCTTTCTTAATAGGTACAAAATATCCATCTCTAAAGACTTGAGGCTTCTGGCTGAGGCTGTTAAGAAAAACTGGGGCTGCTTTTTGCCTTTGTTAAGATTTTTCTCTATTTCTTCCTTGGGGAAATATAATATTCTGCCCCTTTTTAATATTCCCCCAAATATTTCATTCTCAATGGTGTGTGTGTGTGTGCGCGCGCGCGCGCGCGTTCTTAACGACAGTCTGGTCATCAACAAGCTAAACTAGAACATGGATCAAGGTTTCTTTCTTCTGTTGAAGGAAAGGGCTTCATCATGGTTCAGTCCAAGCCGGGAATAAACAACATGGCATCTGCTTTAGAAAGAAGGTTGCAGTTTATTGAAGAGGAGAGCCAGACAGGAAGACTGCTCTGGAAGAAAAGAGAGAGAGAGCACATGTAGGGAGTGGGTTTTTATACCCTCTGGAGCGTTTTGTTTGGAGTTGTTTCCTGTTCCTGTTTTGAGGCATTGTATTTCCTGTGTCATGTATTCTGACCTGAGTCTGGGTGTGCCCCTTTGGCATCTGTGGGTTAATCCTATTATGTCCCGTCTTAGACTTTGGGTGGGGTATCTAGATTTTAGGTGTCTTTGTCTTCCTAAGCTTCTGGCTTCAACCTTCCTGATAGTTTACATCTGCATTTCTACAGAGCTGGTTTCTGCTTGGGGGAGGCAGACTTGGGGCTATTAAAAAAACTGGGCATGCTTTTCTGCCTCTTTAAGATTCTTTGAGGGAAATATATTTTTCTGCCCTTTTAATATTTCCTTCTCTGGGGGGAGCTGACTTTCCGCAGTTCTGAACACGCAGATTTTGTAAAAACAAAACAAAACAAAACATGACTGGAACTACAGTTACTTAAGGAAAGGCTAAAATGTTCCTTCTCCTGTTCTTGTTGGCGAGATCTTTAGGCACCATCCTGCTCCAGCCTCTGGATCGGCTTCTCCTTCTCCTAGCTACGTCAGGTCGGAGAACTTAAAAAAAAAAAAAAGACGAATAAACCGGCGGGAAATTAAACCATTTCCCCCCTCTTCACCTCTGTTGCCCTTTTGCTTTTCAGGATGTCGGCTTGCACAACTCACAACCAGGAGCTCCAACGCAAAGTGGTTCACCTGGAGAAGCAGAACTTGTAAGTGATAGAGATGGACATCTCCTCCCCCACTGTGCTTGGCATTCACCGAATCGATAGAAGAAATTCTGGCCCGCTTAAATTGCCTGAATTTGCCCTCTGCTCTCCCCCAAAATCTGATCCTAACAGGGGGCCTTGTTCTCCTTTTTTCCCCCCAGGTCTCTCCTGCAGCAGCTGAAGAAACTCCAGACCATCGTGATGCAGTCCAGCGGCAAGGCTGCCCAAACGAGCACCTGCGTGGCGGTATGTTGGGGATCGTGTACACGTGTGCGTGGACAGATACAGCTACTCCTCGATTTATGACCACAAAGGAGCCCATTTATGTTGCTAAGGGAGACAGTTGTTAAGCGAGTTTTGCCCCATTTGACGAACTTTCTTGCCACAGTTGGTATGTGAATCCCTGCAGTTGTCTAGTTTAACGAAGAGAAGGACGAGGGGGGACAGGATAGCCGTGTTCCCATGTCTCAGGGGCTGCCCCAAAGAAGAGGGAGTCAAGCTATTCTCCAAAGCACCCAAAGGCAGGACAAGAAGCAACGGATGGAAACTAATCAAGGAAAGAAGCAACCTAGAACTAAAGAGAAACTTCCTGACAGTGAGAACAATTAACCAGTGGAACAACCTGTCTCCAGAAGTGGTGAATGCTCCAACACTGGAGGTTTCTAAGAAGAGACTGGATAGCCATTTGTCCGAAATGGTATAAGGTTTCCTGCCTGAGCAGGGGGTTGGACTAGATGACCTCCAAGGTCCCTTTCAAGTCTGTTATTCTGTTAAATGAGGAAGGAAAGGAAAGGAAAGGAAAGGAAAGGAAAGGAAAGGAAAGGAAGGAAGGAAGGAAGGAAGGAAGGAAGGAAGGAAGGAAGGAAGGAAGGAAGGAAGGAAGGAAGGAATTTTCTGACAATTAGAACAATTAACCCGTGGAACAACCTGCCTCCAGAAGCAGTGAATGCTCCAACACTGGAAGTTTTTAAGAAGAGACTGGACAGCCATTTGTCTGAAATGGTATAGGGTTTCCTGCCTGAGCAGGGGGTTGGACTAGATGATCTCCAAGGTCCCTTCCAACTTTATTACTACATTATTATTATTATTATTATTATTATTATTATTATTATTATTATTATTATTATTATTATTATTATTATTATTATTTCTAGTCATTTGCACTTATTCCGCAATAATTTACACCTTTTTTTGCTGGCTTCCAGTGTTTATGTAAGGTCCCTGGGGAAAAAAAAAAAGCCCATTGGGGAAAATAGACTTACTTAATGTTAAGACCGATGCTGTTCGCTTAACCACCATGCTGGGCGCTTATCGATGGCCACAAAAATGTCAAAAAAAAAAAAAAAAAATTGGATCTGGCCTCAAGTTACAACTACAATGACTTACCAGGGTAGTTCCAGGCTCAATTCCCGTCGTAGGTTGAGGACTATTCTATATAGACTCTGCCCCCCTGACCCTGGAGGGAAGTCAGGGGGACTGTAGCAACTGGGGTCAGAGGAACAGGGATGGGAAGAGCCAGCCAGTGAGACGAGCTGGCTCCAGAAGCGGTGGATACTCCAACCCTGGAGGTTTTTAAGAAGAGGCTGGACAGCCATTTGTCTGAAATGGTATAGGGTTTCCTGCCTGAGCAAGGGGTTGGACTAGATGACCTCCAAGGTTCCTTCCAACTTTATTATTATTAACAACCTGCCTCCAGAAGTGGTGAATGCTCCAACACTGGAAGTTTTAACAAGAGACTGGACAGCCATTGGTCTGAAATGGGATAGGGTTTCCTGCCTGAGCAGGGGGTTGGACTAGATGACCTCCAAAGACCCTTCCGACTCTCTCATTCTGTTCTGACGCCTCCAGGATGGGTGGAGAGCACTTCGCTTCCGCAGTGGGGAAAAGTCCCTAATTTAAGAGGCGATGGATCAAAAGTACCTCCAGCCCCACTTTCTATCGCCAAGGGGGCCAGAGGAACTGAAGCTTCTCATCCATATAGGCCAGGGGTCTTCCAACTTGGCCCTTTTGTGACTTGTGGACTTCAACTCCCAGAATTCCTCAGCCAGAATGCCTGGCTGAGGAATTCTGGGAGTTAAAGTCCACAAGCAGTAATCTTCCAACTTGGCCCTTTTGTGACTTGTGGACTTCAACTCCCAGAATTCCTCAGCCAGGCACAATTCTGGGAGTTGAAGTCCACGAGTCCTAAAAGGGCCCAGTCTGAAGACCCCTGAATTAGAGAGTGCTGACTCATGCATGAGGCAATCTACACTCTGATTGGTTGTTGTGGGTATGAAGGGGGCGTTTCCCTTTTCCCCCATCTTTTTTCCTCTGTGTGCTCTATATACTGTTTGATTTACCTCAGGATATTCCTATGTGCCCGACTAGCTTGTGTTGATGATAAAAATGTAAACTTAAATGTGCCTGGCTGAGGAATTCTGGGAGTTGAAGTCCACAAGCAGGAGTCTTCCAACTTGGCCCTTTTGTGACTTGTGGACTTCGTCTCCCAGAATTCCTCAGTCAGTGTGCCTGGCTGAGGAATTCTGGGAGTTGAAGTCCACAAGTCATCAAAGAGCCAAGTTGGAAGACCCCTGACATAGGCACACATCTGCCTGATATTCAGAGGGAAAAAATGGACATTTTTTTTAAAGAGGCTATGGCTATTGTTAGATTTCTTTTCCTCTTCCTTTGTGAATATCTTTTTTTTTTCCTTACAAAGAGACACAAACTGGCATCACTGGCTGTACACCCCCTTCTGATTTACTCCAGATTTGATCTTGATGGAAGAGTGGAGTGGAGTGGAGTGGAGTAGAGTAGAATGACAGAGTTGGAAGGGACCTTGGAGGTCTTCTAGTCCAACCCCCTGGTCAAGCAGGAAATCTATACAATTTCAGATGCATAGTTGTCCAGTCTCTTCTTAAAAACCTCCAGTGATGGAGCACCTACAACTTCTGGAGGCAAGCTGTTCCACTGGTTAATTATTCTCATTGTTAAGAAAATTTCTCCATAGTTCAAGGCTGCTTCTCTCCTTGATTAGTTTCCATCTGTTGCTTCTTGTCCTGCCTTCAGGTGCTTTGGAGAATAGCTTGACTCCCTCTTCTTTGGGGCAGCCCCTGAGATATTGGAAGACGGCTATCCTGCCCCCCTCTTCATTAAACTAGACATACCCACTTCAAGCAACCATTCTTTGTATATATTAGCCTCCAGTCCCCTAAGGGAAGAATAACAGAGTAATAACAGAAGATCAGAGTTGGAAGGGACCTTGGAGGTCATCTAGTCCAGGTCTTTTCAACCTTTTCACCCATTGTACCACTTTTAGGATATGGCAACATCCGAGTACTACCAGTCGCCTAGCAAGATATCAAAAACTTGATGACCCCCCCCCCAAAAAAGGAAAAAGGTGATAAAGTACAGATAGTCCTCGACTTACAACAGTTCGCTTAATGACTGTTCAAAGTTACAATGGCACTGAAAAAAGTGCCCCCCAAGCCACAGCTGAGCAAGACACCTGCCTGCCCGCCTGGCCGTGCTTTTCCTCCTGTCTGAGTCATTGTTGTGAGCGTTTCTGTTGAGGATTGGCAGAGGGGGTGGGGTGGGGGGTGTTTTGGTCACTTCACATGACCCCGGGACACTGTGACCGTCATTAATACGAATCAGTTCCCAAGCATGTGAATGTAAATCACAAGACCTTGGAGAGGCTGCAACATTCCAGCTGATCGGCATTTCTTTTGGGCTCAGCAGAAATGTCAGGATCAGTGCTGCTTTCCAGCTGATTGGTGCTTCTTCAGGGCTCAGCAGAAGCACCAGGATCAGTGCTGAGCTCCAGCTGGAGCCTGGCGCTGATCCTGGCGCTTCCACTGAGCCCTGACAGCCCCGAAGAAGCGCCGATCAGCTGGAAAGCGGCGCTGATCCTGGTGCTTCTGCTGAGCCCTGACAGCCCTGCAGCTCCAGCCGTCTCTCGCTCAGGCTTGTGCGGTGCTGCCACCGGTTCAGCTCATTCCCCTCCCCTGCTACCACTTTTCTAGGATGGTTGCGTACCACCTGCCAGGTGCCAATGTACCACAGGTGGTACCCGCCCCACTGGTGGAAAAGACCTGCTCTAGTCCAACCCTCTGTTCAAAAAAGATACCAGCATCTTTTTAATTGCTCCTCAGGTCTTGCTGCTTTCCTTTGCTCTGATCATCTTCCCCTCCATTGGCCCTTTCACCCGCAACAAGGCCGAGACCGGGGGTGACTTTGTACCGGTGCGAGGTGAGCAAGGAGGCTGGGTGGGTGGGTGGGCATCTGGGCAGAGAGGAGAGGCAGCACCAGGATTGGCTGGAGCATGCTGTCCCCTGGCCTCAAACACCGAATGGGCAATCCTAGCAGAAAAGTGGATGATTAATCCTGACAAAGAGTCCAATGTTGATTCGGCTGATTGATGGGTCCTCCTTCAAGTCAGAAGTTCATCGGCTACGCCGAAGAATCCAGTTCTACCTGAAGAAGAACGGTGCTGAAGAACCAACCACGTCTCTGTTTCATGAGCTTTAAGGAGAAATATAAAAAACGATCCCCCAAGTGAGAGGAAGAAAAAATATCGACTCCGAGGAGCCATATTTGGATGTGTAGATAACTTCTGCTTATATCAGAGTCAAATCTTAGCTTAGGTGAGTTTTGCCCAGCCAGGAGACAGCCCAGACTTTTAACGGCTTAAAAACAGTGGTGTCTAACTTCCGCAAATGTTTATGACTTGTGGACTTCCAACTCCCAGAATTCCCCAGCCAGCATGGCTGGCTGGGGGATTCTGGGAGTTGGAAGTCCACAGGTCTTAAAGTTGCCAAGGTCAGATACCGCTGGTTTAAAGAGAGAAGACATTTCAATCAGGTCAACTAATTAGTAAGCTGAAAAGTTGGATTACCCAATTTAAAGACAACTTCTACTTATTTCCTAACTGCTGTGAGTTTTGCCCAGGCAGGATACATCAGAGGGGGGCAGCCCAGAATTTTAATAGCTTAAAACAGGGGTGTCCAACCTTGACAACTTTTAAGATTTATGGCGTTCCCCAGCCATGGCTGGAGAATTCTGGGAATTTATTTATTTATTTATTTTTATTTTTAAAATTTATAAGCCGCCCCACTCCCGGAGGACTCTGGGCAGCTAACAATAAAAAACACATAAAACATAACAAAACAAACAGTACAAGAACAGTCATCCAGGTGTCAGATTTTATAAACCCCAGGCCTGCCGGAAAAGCCAGGTCTTAAGCAGCTTGAAGTCCACAGGTCTTAAAGTCGCCAAGGTTGGCTTAAAACAGTGGTTCTCAATTATTTTCTGTCATGCCCCCCCTAGGAAGAAGAAAACATTTCGCGCGCCCCCCGCGTGACTGTCTATCCAATCGGGTCCTTTGCGTGTGTCACGTGCGTCCAATATGACAGTATTTGCCGAGGTCAAACGAGCCCCCCTTTACGGAGCCTCGCGCCCCCCCTGGGGGGCCCGCCCCACTATTTGAGAACCACTGGCTTAAAAGGAGAAAACGGTTGAATCAAGTCAACTGAAAAACATGTTCAAAACTAGAGTAGAGTAGAGCAGAGCAGAGCAGAGCAGAGCAGAGCAGGGCAGAATAGAATAGGACATGAAGCAACGGATGGAAACTAACCAAGGAGAGAAGCAACCTGGAACTAAGGAGAAACTTCCTGACAGTCAGAACAATTAACCAGTGGAACCACCTGCCTCCAGAAGCGGTGAATGCTCCAACACTGGAGGTTTTTAAGAGGAGACTGGACAACCATTTGTCTGAAATGGTATGGGGTTTCCTGCCTGAGCAGGGGGTTGGACTCAATGACCTCCAAGGTCCCTTCCAACTTTATTATTATTATTATTATTACTACTACTACTACTTATTATATTAATCAGTGTTCAACTGGAGGGGATAATATATGTACAATGCATTGGTTTTTTTGATGCACCTTTTTAATGTTCTGATTGTTTTGTGTTTTGCTTTTGTTTTTATGTCTTCTTGGATTTTTATTTGGTTTTGTATTTTGTATTTTAACTCTGTTCTGAATATAATAATAGTAATAATAATAATAATAATGAATAGAATTACAGAATAGAATAGAAATACAGAATAGAATAGAATAGAAATACAGAATAGAATTACATAAAAGAATAGAATTACAGAACAGAATTACAGAATAGAATAGAATTACAGAATAGAATTACAGAATAGAAAAATTGAGTTGGAAGGGACCTTGGAGGTCTTCTAGTCCAACCCCCTCCTCAGGCAAGAAACCCTATCCCATTTCAGACTTCTTCTACCAAGGCAAGTGGCACCACCCATGTTCAGAATTTGTAGTAGAATCTACACTGTTGTGAGCCTGATCCAACGGTCACTAGTGCAGAGATTAGTAGGGAAGGCAGTAGATGAAGCCTCAAGAATCAATCCTTTGCCATTTGCCCCATCCCTCTTGCGTCTCTCTCTCTCTGTGTGTGTGTCCCTCATGCTCTCTGTCCCCCTCCCTCCCAGTTTTTTCTAGGTCCCTCAACAACGATGCATCCTCTAGAATTCTCCACTCCCGGGGCAAGGAGGCCGAGCAGAGTGCGCAGGAAAGCATCTGGAAGGAGCCAGCTCGCAGCGAAGACCACGCGGCCAGCACCTTGATCCGAGATCTCTTGAGGCTTCAGAAGGAGGGCAACCACACAGAAGTCTTCCCAGAAGGCAGACCTGCATCTTTGGACGGACTCAGGCCCGGTGTTCCCTACCCAGGCCCAAATCTGACCACAGTGGCCTGGACTGAATCGGAGCAGCCTGGAAAGGGGGTCTTGGAACAGACGGAGGAGCTGTGACTTTCCACCGGGCTGCTTCCACTCCTTCACTAAACTAGGACGGGGAGGGGTAGGACGGGGATGGGGAGACTGTGTGTGTGTGCGCGTGCAGCAGTGTTGTGTCTCTCCTATTCAGGGGGAAGGGGGGGGAATGTGAAAGAGAGTCGCAGTGTGTGTGAGAGAGAACAAGGGGAGGGGGTCTGAATCCTCCTGGGCTATTTGGGGACCCCCTGAAAAAAGACAGGCTGAGCCCCGGTTCTCCTCTTCCATTTTTAAAACGGGGGGGGGGGGGGGCGGAATTCTCCAGGATGGGACCCCCAGCAGGTCTGTAGCCGTGGATCCTTAAATTGCACTTCACTGCAAAGCGTGTCACATCCCCACATCCCTTGTGGAACTGGGGGCTTCAGGCGTTCATTATAGGGAAGATGGGAGTTTGACATCTGATTATTTTTTTTTATTTTATTTTTTTGCCGAGCCTTTCGGCTCCTGAGATTTCTGTTCATCTGGTGTGCGGTGATGATGAATGAAAAAACGTTCTTTTTTTTTCTTTTGGGGGAGGGGAACAGAGAGTCAAAGCTGAAATGTACAGTTACCCCTTACAGCTTTGCGCCCTCCGTTATGTCCACCTTTGAGCCCCCAAATTGATATTTTGAGTTGGGTTTTGCCCCCATTTTACGGCTTTTCTTGCCAATGGTTGCAGTCATTGAGTGAGGAACCCGGTCGTTAAGCAAATCTGGCTCCCCCCATAGACTTTGCTCCTCCGAAGGCCGCCAAAAAGGGGATCATAGGTGACCCGGGGACATCGCAACCATCATCAAGACGAACCAGTTGAAATTTCGATCGCGTGACTGCCGGGTGGTTAAGTGTGGAAAAAACAGGTTCGTAAGTCGCTTTTGGGGGACTTTGAACGGTCACTAAACGAACTGTGCCAAGTGGAGGACCGCCCGTGTAATCTTTCCGTGGAAAGGTTAAGAGTCCAGGAAAGGAGCAGTGGTTCTTTTAATTCAGCCTCTGCTATCTTTCCTTTAAACACACACAAAAAAACCCCCTTAAAACAGGAATATAAAGATGTAATCTGCCTCTATAAAAAAACTGATAACAAATGCAGAAAGGAGGGAGGAGGGGGGCGTTTCTCCTCCTCTTCAGATGGCTGATGCTGTGAATTTGCACGTCTGATTATGTAACGGGAACGGCTGGTCTTCCGGCAAGCTCCAAACAGCTTTCGGGAGGCATCTGTTGGGATTATTTTCTCTGCCGTTTCGGGAACCGCCGCGTTCGGCCCCCGCAGTTTGGCTGCTCTCTCTTCTGAGGGCTCAAGCAAGCGTGGGGCGGTGGGTTCGACAGGTGACTGCTTCTGCTCGGATGAAATCCAAGCATCGAAGCCAGCTCAGAAGCTTCGCTGTCTCAGATTATGTCCTCCTAGTTCCAATGTCCCGGTTTATTTTCCCTTCTGGGAAAGCAGCCGTGGATTTATTGGTGTAGTAATGGAATGCGCGGAGGGCCTTGGGGAAGGAGAAAGAAAAATGCCGCCAGATAAGAGAGGGCTTAGCCTGCAGCTGCATAAAGGGTGAACAAGCTCAGAAGAGACCCTGTAAAAGGGAGGGGGGAGAGAAAGGCTGCGTAGGGAACAGATAAAAGACGGCTTAGCCTGCAGCTGCTTAAGGAGTGGAGAACAAGCTCAGAAGAGACCCTGTAAAAGGGGGGGGGGGAGAGAAAGGCTGCGTAGGGAACAGATAAGAGAGGGCTTAGCCTGCAGCTGCCTAAAGGGTGGAGAGCAAGCTCAGAAGCGACCCTGTAAAAGGGAGGGGGGAGAGAAAGGCTGCTTAGGGAGCAAATAAGAGAGGGCTTAGCCTGCAGCTGCTTAAGGGGTGGAGAACAAGCTCAGAAGAGACCCTGTAAAAGGGAGGGGGGAGAGAAAGGCTGCGTAGGGAACAGATAAGAGAGGGCTTAGCCTGCAGCTGCATAAGGGGTGGAGAACAAGCTCAGAAGAGACCCTGTAAAAGGGAGGGGGGAGAGAAAGGCTGCGTAGGGAACAGATAAGAGAGGGCTTAGCCTGCAGCTGCATAAGGGGTGGAGAACTAGCTCAGAAGAGACCCTGTAAAAGGGCAGGGAGGAGAGAGGCTGCATAGGAAACAGATAAGAGAGGGCTTAGCCTGCAGCTGCATAAAGGGTGGAGAAAAAGGATCCTCCCTAGTTCCTTGGGATATAAAGCAAAGAGTTGCTGCTTAGGGAAGAGGCAACTAAGAGGCAACCTAGCCCTCTGCTGCATAACGGGCAGAGAAAAGGACTCAGGAGGGACCCCTCCCTAGTTTCTCAGGCTCTGAAAGAGACGGCGGGAGATTCGTAGTTGCACAGTTCTATTAATGTAGCTTTACATAGAATAGAGTTAGTCTGTCCGGTCATGTTTCCCATCTGGTCTGCCTGGTAAGACTGACAGCCCTGGACGAGTATGATCTAACAAAGAGGGAAGGGAAAGATTCCTAGTGGCAGGAACGTGGGGACCCAGAGCCTTGATCCGGAAGACGTAGGGGCCGGGAAGTCCGCAGGATATGGTAAGAAAAAAGGAAAGAGGGCTGGTGAACGGGTGGAGCTTTGTATACCATCATCCTCGCCCTTTTGATTTATTTTTGAGCCCACCCTGTGGTCAGCCCCGGGTACATGTTGAGCACTTCTGAGCTGATTTTGAAGGATTGGGGGACGGTTTGGGATGAGCATTTGCGACGTGTATCCCTTTGCGGCCCCAAAATGCCAGAAGCCGGAAGACAAAAGACTCGAGCTGATGTCTCGCCCGTCATGTGTACAATAAATGATTTGGGTTAAAATGAAGGATGGGTCGTCTGATTGATTGGATTTGTCTTTATTCCCCCTCCCCCACATAAAAGGCCGCACTTGAAAAGGAGAGGCGGTAGGAAACAAAATGGACAGAACAGGTGGGAAGAAGGGAAGAACTCGAAGGAGAAAAGGGGGCACAAATTAAGACTTAATAAATGTCCCACGTGAGTAAAATATTCTGGACTGGACACTTCGGTAATAAAGGGGCTTGAAAGCTTCTCCCAGATTCATAAATTGCAGGTCATCCTCGACTTACGAACACAACTGAGCCCCAAATTTCTCTTGTTAAGCGAGACAGTTGTTGAGTGGTTTGTTGCCATGGTTTGTTAAACGAATCACTGCAGTCGTCACATTAGGAACATTGCAGTAAGCGAATCTGGCTTCCCCATTGACTTTACATGTCGCAAAAGGGGATCACGAGACGCTGCAACTGACATAAATACGAGTCGCCCAGTGGCCTGGATTCTAATCCGGTGACCTCGGGAAGGCTGCAACAGTCACAAGTGTGAAAAACGGCCCTAAGTCCCTTCTTTTCAGTGCCGTTGTAACTTCGAATAGTCACTAAATGAATGGTTCTAAGTCAAGGACTTACTTGCATGATAGCTGCCAGCTTGGGGGGGGGGGCTGAAATCCACGGTTCTTTTCAAGCTGCAGATTTCCACCAGCAACAACCCCGGCTGCCGCTTTATTGACAGAGATGGGCCAATTTTGTTTCCTCGGCAGGTGACAACCTTAGAGAGCTCTCTTAAATGGTTTTAATAGGACAAGACCCACCCTTACCAAAGACCACCGAGCTTGGTGGGTGTCAGTAGCCCCCCCCCCCAGTCGCCAGGCTCTATTCCTGCCGCTCCTGGCCTCCCTAACCGAGCGGTCGGGTTGTCTCGACCGTTTTAATTTTTTTTTTAAAAGCTGCCATCCGATTCCTGGCAACGTGAGGCGCTGATCACGCTGCATGAAAGCTGTTTTGAGCCGGGAAGCAAGAAACGGATCGGCACGGGCTCTCGCTTGCCAATTTGGCTCTCGTTCAAAAATAACGGCAGGTCACAGGGAAGCCCGGCAGAGCTCGGATCGAAACGGCGACGAAGGAAAGAAGAGCAGAGAATTGTAAAGGAAGAGGGAGAAAGGAAGGTTTCCCTCCCTTGTGGCGGCATTATATCCTTTGTCTTTCTTTCGCTGGGAGTTGGAAACTGACTAGGAGCTGGAACCAGACACTTGAGGCCAAGGGAAGCACTTGCTAAACTAACCTGCTCGTGCCGGAAGGCAGATTGATGTATTTTGGATCAGACAGAGAAGATTTAACAGTACACAAAAATAACAGCTAACCCTGCTCCTTTCTAGCATTGATAATGTTACCTAGTTTGGTAATGAAACGTCGCTAAGAAAACCACCAACCTCAGAGCATCTGGGACCCCAACAGAGAAAGGGGGGTGCCCCCTGCCTACAGGTAGCCCTCAACTTATGACAATCGTGACCAGAATTTATGTGGTTAATTAAGATAGTTGTTGAGTGAAGACACAAACACACACTGGTTTTACCACCTTTTTGGACCGTCATTAAACCAATCACTGCAGTTGTTAAGAGAGACACGTGGTTGTTCAATGCATCTGGCTTCTCCGATTATGCTTGTCAGAAGCCAGCCTGGGAAGATCCACAAATGATGATCACACAATCCTGGGACATTGCAACTGCCACAAACACACACCAGTTGCCGAGGGCCTGAATTTTGATTGGGTACAAGTGGTCCTCAACTTTACGACAACAACTGAGCCCCAAGTTTACGTTGCTAAGTGAGAAATTTGTTAAGAGAGCTTTACCCCATTTTTAGGACTTTCTTCGCCCCATTTGTTCAGTGAATCACTGCAGCGCTTAAATTAAGTCACAAGGTTGTGAAGCAAATCTGGTTTCCCCGTTGACTTTGCATGTCAAAAGGTCGCAAAAGGAGACCACGGCACCCCAGGACACCGCAAACTGTCATAAATGGGAGTCAGTCGTCAAGCATCCTAATGTAAATCACTTGGCTGTGGGGATGCTGTAATGGTCATAAGTGTGAAAAATAGTCATATGTCACTAATTTCAGGGCCATTTAACTTGGGTCACCTGATGAACTGCTGTAAGTCAAGGATTACCTGTACTGTGGGGATGCTACAACACTTAGATGTGTTGTAAGGCACTCTTTCAAGGCTGTCGTACTTTGAGCAGTTACTAAGCGAATGGTTCTAAGTGTAACTTGCAACTGCTGTCTTGGTGTAATGAATAGGCTAGACTAAAATTAGAATTAAAGAATGGAATGGAATATAGAATAGAACAGAACAGAAAATATGGAATAGAACAGAATACTGGAAAAAGTAGAATAGACTAGAATGAGCTGGAAGGGACCTTGGAGGTCATCTAGTCCAACCCCCTGCTCAGGCAGGAAACCTTATACCATTTCAGACAAACGGTTGTCCAATCTCTTCTTAAAAACTTCCAGCGTTGGACCATTCACCGCTTCTGGAGGCAGGTGGTTCCACAGGTTAATTGTTCTGTCAGGAAGTTTCTCCTTAGTTCTAAGTTGCTTCTCTCCTTGTTTGGTTTCCATCCGTTGCTTCTTCTTCTGCCTTCAGGTGCCTTGGAGAATAGCTTGACTCCCTCTTGATTGGGGCAGCCCCTGAGATGTAATCATCCAAGTTGCCTTTCAGACAAACCTGGGATACCCCAGAGGCCATTTAGACCAACCCCCAATGCTTGTAGGAATCCTATCCCACCTTTTTATATAGTCCTTATCACAAAGTCCAATGGGTCGTGAACGTCAGCCCTACCACCAGCCAAGTACAAGCAGCCCTTGAATTATGACGCTAATTAAACCCCAAATTTGAGGGGGGGGGGAGGAGAAATGGATTAAAAAAAAAAAAACAAAACCTACAGAATGAAAATTCCATTGCTAAGTGAGGCAATTAGGTGGGCTGTGGCCCCTTTGACTTTTGCCACAGTTGGTAAATGAATCGCTGCAGTTGTTATGTGAATCATGGGGTCATTAAGCAAATCCTGTTTCCTCCGCCCCCTCCCCTTGACTCCGCTTACCGGAAGCTGGCGGAGGTCCCAAAAGGGGATCCCCGTGACCGTCGTAAATATATGCCTGTTGCCGAGCACCCAAATTTTGATCACCTGACTTGGGGGGGGGGGAGATGCTGCAATGGTTTTAAGCGTGAGAATTAGTCTTAATTCACTTTTTCAGTGCCGTTTTAACTTTGGCCCCTAAAGGAATATACAATATATAATAATAAAGTTGGAAGGGACCTTGGAGGTCATCTAGTCCAACCCCCTGCTCAGGCAGGAAACTTTACACCATTTCGGACAAATGGCTGTCCAGTCTCTTCTTAAAAACTTGCAGTGTTGGAGCATTCACTGCTTCTGGACGCAGGTAGTTCCACTGGTTAATTGTTCTAACAGTCAGGAAGTTTCTCCTTAGTTCTAGGTTGCTTCTCTCCTTGATTAGTTTCCATCCGTTGCTCGTCCTGCCTTCAGGCGCTTTGGAGAATAGCTTGACTCCCTCTTCTTTGGGGCAGCCCCTGAGATACTGGAAGGCTGCTATCATGTCCCCCCTTGTCCTTCTACTCTTTAAACTAGACATACTCAATTCCAGCAACCGTTCCTTGTATGTTTTAGCCTCCAGTCCCCTAATCATCTTTGTGGCAATTCTCTGCCCTCTTTCTAGAGTCTCAACATCTTTTTTACATCCTGGTGACCAAAACTGGATGCAGTATTCCCAGTGTGGCCTTACCAAGGCCTTGTAAAGTGGTATTAATACTTCACGCGATCTTCATTCTATCCCTCTGTTAATGCAGCCTAGCACTGATTGTAAGTTACCTATAGTAGCCAAGAAATTCCTCCCTCCGTGTTGTTTCAAACCAGGCGTGGTTCTCTGGAAAAATCCCATTAGATAATCGTAATCCTTATAAACTGTTATTTGGGAGGGATTTTCCTGGTGGAGAGGGAAGAATTACCTCTTTTTCTGAAGTATTTTTTTTTAAAGTATTATTAAGTATTATCAAAAGGAGATAACGTGTTCCTGTACGGACGAATCTCGGATTAATCATTAAAAGAACAGCAAAATAATAATAATAAAGATTTGTACTGTTGATTGGAGAGCTCTTTAATGTCAAGCTGGCGGCTGTCAACCACCTTTGAAGCGAGGCCTTCCGTCACACAGTAGTCCTCCACTTACGACCGTGATGGAGCCCAACGTGTACGGCGTTGAGTGAGGCATTTGTGAAGCGAGTTTTGCCCCGTATTACAACTTTAAGTTAAATTTAAATTTAACTTTAAATTAAATCGCTGAGGCGGTTAAATTAGTCCCACGGTCGTTAAGCAAAACTGGCTTTGCTCGTCAGAAAAGGGGGATCACATGATCCCGGGACAGTGCAACTGTCATAAATATGAGTCAGTTGCCAAGGGACTGAATTTGGATCATGCGACGGTGGGGAATGCTGCAATGGCCGTAAGTCTGAAACGTGATCATAATAGTGGTCAGTATTGCAATATTGGAAGAAGGAATCTTTGCCTACTTTGCAGGAATGGTTTTTTAAAGTTTCTTACTTAGCTGAAATGGCAAAAATTTCGGCTTATTTGAAAGATCAATCGCAAGAGAAGTACCTCTTGGTGTGGAAAAGATGGATAAATTTTATACAATATAAGTATGATATAAGAAAATATCATTTAGCTTTTGAATAATTTATATTTAAAGTTTAAGATATTATTTAGAAGTGTAGAATAGTTTTGTTTTTTATTATTATTTTTTTCTTTTTTTCTTTTTTTCTCTTTCTGTTTTTTATATATAATGGAGTTAAAGTATTTAATAATTTGTTTACTGAATGTAATTATATTTGTTTGAGGTTTATTTGGGTTTAAAAGTTTTTTCTTTTAAGTTCTAGTTAATCCTGTATTCAGCTCTGGGAAGAATGGGGGAGGGTTTTGGGGTGGGTTGGGAGGGATTGGGGAAGGGGTTTTTATTGTAAAATTGTAAAAAATTATAATAAAAAAAAAATAATAGTGGTCACTATTTTCAGTGCTGTTGTAACTTCGGCCACTAAGTGAACTGTTGTAAGCCGAGGACGGCCTGTAGTTGCGACTTCATCTCGAGGTCTTTTATTGCAGGTAATCCTCGACTTACAATCACAATCTCGCCCAAAACGTCCATTGCTAAGTGAGACAATGGTTACAGCCCTTCTCGCCAGAAGTGGATCCCTGCAGTTGTTAAGTGAGGAACACGGTTGTTAAGTGAGTCAGGCTTCCCCACTGGATTTGCTCGTCAGAAGGGGGCAAAGGACGGATCCCGTGAACCCGGGACACTGCGACGGTCATAAATAGGAGTCGGTTGCCAAGCGTCTGAATTTTGGTCACGTGAATTTGGAGGCTCTCACGGTCGTTCAGCGTGAAAAATGGTCGTTAAGTCACTTTTTTTCCCAGGGCCGTTGTTAAGACGGGGACCGCCTGCGGGAGGATCCGCAGAAGGACCCCGTTGCTGCGTGTTTGGGGTTCAAATACGGAGGGGAATGCCACACACGCTTATTCTCATTTATTGACGAGCGAGCACACACACACGACCGTTCCTATGCCGGGGAAATTGCACTGGAAATGAGGAGGGGGGGCTTCTCCAGAACTGGGAGAAAAATCCTATGCATGACTTCATTCCCCCCACCCCTCCCCCCCAAAAAAGAGAGAGAAAAAAAGAAAGCAGCTGTGGCATCATCCGAGTGAGCATTCAAGCCGTCACCCAAAACCTTTGAAGGCAGGACCCTTCCCCTCCGTTCGTATTCGTGGGCTGGGCTGACCTGAGAAGTGAGTGAGGAACATGGGCTGCAAGGAAGGGCCCATATATACAGTATAGAATACATATATATATCTTATCTGTTGGGTGAGGCACCCGGTCTACCAAATATAAATCAGTCTGTTCTGCGTTTCGCTCCAATCTAGGAGCATGTTTTGCAGGCAGACGTCACATGCTGTGAACACTAGAAATTCAAAATTTGTGGCTGGCAAAGAGTTAGTGGGAGACTAGAATAGCGATTTCAGGCTGATTAGCCCTCATCAGCTAGTCACACCCCTTAGTGGGAGACTAGTATAGCTATTTCAGGCTGATTAGCCCTCATCAGCTAGTCACACCCCTTAGTGGAAGACTAATATAGCTATTTCAGGCTGATTAGCCCAGGGGTGTGACTAGCTGATGAGGGCTAATCAGCCTGAAATAGCTATACTAGTCTCCCACTAACTCTTTGCCAGCCACAAATATATATATAGACAAAGACTGACCACAGAACCGTGATATAAGGGACCCCATTTCCTATTCTAAGTGATTCGACAAAGGTAGTTCTTTAAAACGACTATGCTATTTTTCTCCTTCTCTCCCTCCTTCCCTTCGCTGATTATCAGGAAACCAGGAAAGGGGTTTTTTTGGGGGGGAGGAGGGGGTAGCAGCGAAATCCATGGACCCATAGTGAGAGCCCAGGGTCAGTGGAGTTGGGGAAGGGGGAGGGGGAGGAAGAAGGAAAGGCGAGAAGGATGAAAAAGGGGACGAAAGGTGGGGAAAGGGAATCAACGAATGAAAAGAAGGAAGGGAAGGGAGAGAGAGAAAGGGGAGATGGTGGAGGAGGGGAAGGAGGAGAGAAGGGGAGAGAGGGGAGGAGAAAGGGAGATGCAAGAAAGGAGAGAGGAGAGGGGAGGGGGAGAGAGGAGAAAGGGGAAGGGAAAAGGGGAGGAGGAAGGAGAGAAGGAGGGAAGATGATTGGGAGGAGGAGAGAGAGGAAAGGAGAGGGAAGAGAAGAGAGGGAGAAGAGAGGAGAGAGGGAAAAGAAGAGGGGAGAGAAGAGAGGGGAGAGGAGAAAGAGGAGGGGAGAGGAGGAGAAAGGAGGGGGGGGAGAGAGGGGAGGAAGAGTGAGAAGGGAAGGGACCCTGTCCCTCAACACCACCCAAGAGACATACAAAGAGGGCACAAGCCGTGATTTCCTGGCCTGGTCCCACAGAAAGAAGGATGACGGTTACCTCCTTCCAGAAATGGAAAATCTAGGCTCATCCAGAAAGCTTCAAAGTTTCAGGGAAAAAAACAAAAATTACCTACAGGATCCGAAAGGAAGACAATTCTCTAAAAAGTCAGGTAGAAACGCCAAGGCCAAGCTGGTTTGTCCCGAGAGAAGACCAGGCAAAACACCCGCGCCGACCGGCCCGCAGGGACGGGCCTCCGTCAGGTGGGCAACGGCTCCAGCTTCGGCTGCTTGGCCGGGATGGAGCTGCCGTCCAGCAGGCGGGATTCCTGCTTCAGGACCGCCGTGTGTCCCAGGCCCTCCCGGCCACCGTTCCAGCAGGGAGCCGGCTCTCCCTTGCTCAGGAACGGCAAGTCCGCGCCGGTTTGGGAGAGCGGTTTGGCCTCTTGCTGCTCTGCATGCTCCACCACCAGCGGCCCGGCCCACTCGGGGATCTCCAGCCCGAGGAGTTTCATCAGCTTCGTCATCACCTCGTCCACGTAGCCGTGGATGCGCAGGTCCGCGTGCCTGTCCTGGGGGGGGGAGGCAGAAAAAGAGGGGGCAAAGAGGTGACACGGAAGGCGTGTGAATTCAACAAGTACATAAAAGATGCTTCGAAAAGGCGGAGGAAGGTCGGAGCCCGAGGAGAGCCGAGGTAGGAGATGACCGAAGGTGGGGTCAAATGCATCATCAGTCCGGAGTTGCTGCGCTCCCACAAAAGCCTCCCCGTGAATTCTGCTCTTACCTAGGGCCAATTTGCCTGCACCGCGAGTAGATCAGATTCTTCTGTATACCGTGTTTCCCCTCCCAAATAAGACCTGGTCTTATTTAAATTTTTGCCTCCAAAATGAGGCATCAGGTCTTGTTTTCGGGGAGGGGGGTGTCTTTCCAGTCACCTCGGGCAATAACAGCCCTACCCAGCTGGCCCACTTCCTCTGCAGCTGAAGGAGCAGCTTTGTTCTGCGGCGGAAAATTGAGTTCTGGCCTGCGCTTCACAGTCAGAAGCCTTTCCGGAAGGTCTCTGCAGCCAAGAACCGAACCTGAGGATGCCGCAGAAGAAGTAGGCTGGCGAGGAGAGGCCTGGCTGCAATGTTAAGTAGGTGCAGGGCGCGTGGGGCAGCTCTACCCCCCGTCCCTGCTCTAGATTGATTTTTAGGCTTCTGCCTCGCCCCAAAACTAGGGCTTATTTTTGGGGTAGGGCTTATATTAGGCCATGGGTTGGCAACCCATGGCTCCGGAGCCGCATGTGGCTCTTTGAGCCTTTTCCTGCAGCTCCCAGCCTCCTCTGCCATTTGCAGAGAGACAGACAGAGACAGAGAGAGGCACTTGTGCTTCCCTTCTCTCTCTCTCTCTCTCTCTCTCTGTGTGTGTGTGTGTGTAAAAAATAGAGTGGCCACACGCTGTTCTCTGACAAGCTGACAAGCTTATTGGACGGGGCTCCTGCCTTTGCTGCATCTCTGCAGGAAGCAGCATATCTCTCTCTCTCTCTCTCTGTGTGTGTGTGTGTATGTGTGTGTGTGTAAAAAAGAGTGGCCTCACGCTGTTCTCCGAGAAGCTGACAAGCTTATTGGGCGGGGCTCCTGCCTTTGCTACATCTCTGCAGGAAACAGCAGAAAGCAGCAGTTCTCTCTCTCTCTCTCTCTCTCTCTCTCTCTCTCTCTCTCTCTCTCTCTCTCTCTCTCTCACACACACACACACACACACACACACACACACTTTTACTTACTTAGTGGGGGAAGAAGATTGGCAGAGCAAGAGCAGGAGAGAGCCAGCCCAATAAGAATGTGTGTCAGCTTGTCGGAGAACAGCGTGAAGCCAGCTTGCCAGGTGAGCAGAAGATTGGAGAGAAAGGGGTGGGGAGAGAGAGAGAGGGAGAGGGAAAGAGAAACTCATGCACAACAGCCTCTATTTCGTTTTAATTAAACTCTTCAATCAAGGCCCCCCTTCTGCGCAGGCACATGGGCGTGAGTTTTGTGGCTCCCAGTGTTTTCTTTTCTATGGGAAACAGGTCCATGTGGCTCTTTGACGGTTTAAGGTTGCCGACCCCTGCATTAGCCGCCCCCAAAATCAAGCTAGGGCTTATTTTCAGGGTAGGCCTTGCTTTCAGGGAAACACGGTACGTAGCACGAAATAAACTCTTTAATACTTTTGAACTCTGTTCTGCCTCCTGGTTTCTTGCGCCTGGCGGCCGATAGCCAAAGACTTTCCTTCCTCCTCCTTCTCCAACTAGCCAGATCCTCTGCTAGCCCAAGAGAAGAAGATCCTGGCTGGCCGGTTATCGGCTGCACTTTTCCCAACCGAGGAGGGGGAGGGGCTGCCCCAGAGGACCCGAAAGCAAAGCATTTGAGGGTCAACTGTCCCATCGAGGTAGGGGGGTCATTGACGCAGACTCACGTGCTTTGTGGGCTGCAGGTTGACGATCACCAGCTTCCCGCCCTTCTTCTTGGTCAGCAGCGGAAGGTCTCCGCTGGGCTTGATCTGCAGGGAGGTCCCCAGGGTGATGGATAAGGACGCCCTCCTGCAGGCAGACGAGCAATCAGTCCTGGAGAGCCTTTTCAAAGAGAAAACTGGGGTGGAAAGCTGGGGGGGGGTGTCTGGAACGCCTGGCCTGCCGTGGAATTGTCACCACCCCTCTCTTGGCTGCGGGGTCCTTGGCGCTCTCTGAGTCTGGTGGCCTTCTTGCAGATGTTTGGTGACCCAGCCAGGTAACATCATCAGTGCTGGAAGGGAGGAGGAGGAGGAGGAAGAAGACTGTAGGGTCCTTGGCGCTGAGTTTGGTTGTTTTCTTGGAGATGTTTAATGACCCAGCCAGGTAACATCAGCAGTGCTAGAAGGGGGGGGGGGAGTTGTGGAGAGGATTGAGGTCATCCTTGGTGTTCTCTGAACTTGCTTGTTTTCTTGCAGATGTTTAGTGACCCAGCTAGGTAACATCTTCAGTGCTAGAAGGGGGTTCGTTCTCTTTTTATACACTAGTGCCATGGTGGCGAACCTATGGCACGCGTGCCACAGGCGGCACGCGGAGCCGTCTCTGGTGGTGCGCGAGCCATTGCTGGCCCGAGCTGCTCCCTCCTCCTCTCCGCACATGCGCAGTCTGGGAACAGGCGAGAGGCTATAAAAGGAGCAACTTTCTGTGGAAGCAGCATTTGCTGCAGACAGCTTGAGAGCGAGCACGAGTGGGAGCGGACAGCGAGCGAGCACGAGCCGACAGCTCGGTGCCCACGCCCACCCGGCACCCAGCGATGCATAAGTGGGTTTTGGGTTGCAGTTTGGGCACTCGGTCTCTCAAAGGTTCGCCACCACTGCGCTAGTGGCTTGTCCGTGTCGGTGGGAAAGTTTTGATGGCTCCTTAATTAGCCTGCCGTTTACCGTTAGCTTGTCTGTCTCAGTTGGGACATTCCTTGGTGTATTGTTTATTGCTTGACAGCTTGCATATAACAGAGAGCAAACCCCACTGATGATGTGACCTAGCTGGGTCATGAAACGTCTGCAAGGAAACCACCTTGCTCAGTGAACACCAAGGACCCCACAGCTGCCCTCCTTCTCCTCCTCTCCTCTTCCTCCTCCTCCATAAACCTCCCTCCCTTCCAGCACTGATGATGTGACCTAGCTGGGTCATGAAACGCCTGCAAGAAAACCACCCTGCTCCAAGAGCACCAAGGACCCCACAGCCCTCCTCCTCGTCCTCTCCACAAAACCTACCGCTTTTAGAAATGGCTAAAATTTCTGCTTATTTAAAGGACCATTCACAAGAGAGATATGTTATTGTATGGAGAAGATGGATAGAATACGTTCAGAAGAAATACGGAACTACAAAATTTCATTTATTTTATGAGTAACGGATTTGTTTATAAAATTATGATGTTAAAGTTTGAAGAGAGTTAAGGGTTAGTATGATTTTGATTATTGTGTAATTAGTAAACTTAAGTAGATTAAGTTTAATATGTTTGTATAACCCTGTACTTGGCTCTGGGAAGCTGGGGGGGGGGGGACGGGGGAGGGGAGTGGGGGGAGGATGGGTTGGAGGTTAAATAGGTCAGATAAGTAGAAATAGGTTTTTTTGTATATAATATTGATGTTTCAATTTGGAGAGAGGAATTGCTCGGGCATTTCCCCTGGACTGCATCCGGAGTGAGAAGATAGGAGGAAGGGGAGAAGCAAGTAGGAAGGTTGAGGAGGAGAGGGGGAGAGTGAGGAAGAAGAGGGAAAGAGGGAAGTGAGAGGTTAGAGGGTGGATGCGATTTGGGGGGAAATGGGTGAGCAATACCGAAAGTTGTATAAATTTATTTTACTCTTTATCTGAAGTATTTTTTATGAATGTAATGAAAAATTGAAAATGAAAATAAAAAAAAATCTTTTACAAAAAAAAAAAAACCTACCGCTTTTTTAGGGGCACTGATGATGTTACCTAGTTGGGCCACGAGACGTCTGCCAGGAAACCATCCAGAACCCCCACCGTTCCCGCCTGAGCTAACTAATATTCTCTTCCGTTAGTAACATTTCGATTCGTTTAAGGAACCCTGTTAGCCTTCGCCACGGCTTCCCCAACCCGCTGGGCGAACAGATTCCGAAAGATCCAATCCAGCGGAAATTCAGAATCCAGAGGTTTGGGAAAGGGCTGGATTGGGTAATCCTGTGGAGGGGAACACACTTGCTGGCTTCAGAGGCCCAATACAGGTCACGGTCCGGCAGGGAATCTTCCCAGTCTAGGATGGTGTCCGTTAACTTGCCTCTTTAAGGAGAAACACAAAACACACACCGATCAAAACCGACAGTGAACGGGAAATAACCAGCATTTTTTTAAATACATGAACACATTTTAACATCAACACACTTTGATAAGCATTTGTAATACGTTTTTTTAAATACATAATACACTCCCTCCCTCCCATTTCTGTCACCACGGGCCCCAAGCCCCCCTTCCTCTTCCCTCCAGACCTGAATGAAGACCCCAGCCCCACCCTTCCTAGCTCCCTCTTCCAAATTCCAGTGCCCAGGAATTGGGAGACGAGCAGGGGTTGAGTGCCTTGAAACAGAAACAGGCGTCCGGAGAAGCTGCAGAACTTCTTAAAGCAGGCAGCTCACAAAAGAAAGAGGAAGAGATTCAACATCAAATCCATTTCTTTGACATCAAAATCTGCAATAATACCCAACAAGAATAATTGCGGAGTGAACTTTATCTTTCTCTTAAAAATCTTTTGAATATGCCACCAGATCTTAATCCAAAAAGCTTTTATATCTCTACAAGTCCACCAAATATGAAAATAGGTTGCGCCTAAGCTTCCACATCTCCAATCTTATAACAGCTGCAAGATTACTGGTGGGGCAATATTGGTAGAAAAACTCTTTGCCTACTATGGAAGAATGGATAGTTAAGGTGTCTACTTTAGCAGAAATGGCGAAAATCTCCGCCTATTTGAAGGACTATTCACAAGAATTGGGTATGTCTAGTTTGCTAGGATGGGGCTCTACATGGGGCTACCCTTGAAAAGTATTCGGAGACTACAGTTGGTCCAGAATGCAGCCGCGCGAGTGATAGTGGGTGCTCCTCGATAAACCCACGTTACACCTATCCTCCGTGAGCTGCACTGGTTGCCTATTGGTCTCCGGGTCCAATTCAAGGTGTTGGTCATTACCTTTAAAGCCCTATATGGCTCAGGGCCAGGCTATTTGCGAGACCGCCTACTACCTCGTAGTTCCCTTCGTCCGGTTAGATCCCACAGGCTGGGCCTCCTTCAGGCTCCGTCGGCCAATCAGTGCCATTTGGCGGGGCCGCGGGGGAGGGCCTTCTCTGTGATGGCGCCCACGTCTTGGGACCAGCTCCCCCCGGAGATTAGGACCGCTCCCACCCTGTTGGTCTTCCGTAAGCTACTTAAGACCTGGCTTTTCCAGCAGGCCTGGGGTTTATAAAACCTTACCCCTGGATGATTGTTTTTGTATTGTTGTTTTGTTATGTTTTATGTGTTTTTTATTGTTAGCCGCCCAGAGTCCTTTGGGAGTGGGGCGGCTTATAAATTTTAAAAATAAAAAAAAATAAAAATAAATTGGGTATGTCTAGTTTAACGAAGAGAAGGACCAGGGGGGACATGATAGCCGTGTTCCAATATCTCAGGGGCTGCCATAAAGAAGAGGGAATCAAGCTATTTTCCAAAGCACCAGAAGGCAGGACAAGAAGCAACGGATGGAAACTAATCAAGGAGAGAAGCAACCTGGAACTAAGGAGAAACTTCCTGACAGTGAGAACAATTAACCAGTGGAACAACCTGCCTCCAGAAGCGGTGAATGCTCCAACACTAGAAGTTTTTATGAAGAGACTGGACAGCCATTTGTCCGAAATGGTGTAGGGTTTCCTGCCTGAGCAGGGGGTTGGACTAGGTGACCTCCAAGGTCCCTTCCAACTTTACTATTATTATTATTACTATTATTATATTATTATTATTATTATACATATATTTCGCTTTGGACAAGATGGATTGATTATATTCAAAAGAAATATGAGACTGAAAATGAGAAATATGAGACTACTCATCTTGCTTATGAGTAGATTTTAGATTATTTTTAATAGTTCAATGTGTTTGAGTTTATATTATTTTTACTATTATGGTTTAACTATATTATTATTTTTGTTTTACATTTGTCAATACTTGTTTTGAGAAGGAGTTAAAGTGTGTTATGGATTTGATTGATAGCATAGTCAAGTTATGTTAGTTAGATTATGTTTGTTTATTTGTTACCCTGTAATCAGCTCTGGGAAGTGGGGGAGGATGGGAGGGGGTGGGAGGGGTTAAGGTTATAATGTATTGGATTTGTAAAACTTTTAATTAGAAAAAAAAGAAGAGGAAGAGAGGATCTTGGGAGGGAGGGACAGAAGTCGATCCCACTAGGGAAGGCAGCCACGGGGGGAGGGGGGGGAGGCACCTGCAGGATCGGAGCCCTCGGTGCTTGGAGGCGTCGCAGAGTCGGCCGGTGGGCTTCAGTCCCATGGTGCCCACCACGGTGTCCCTCACGTACTGCCTTAAAAAAATAAAATAAAAAGAAGACACAGCTGCAGCAAGGACAACCAGGCCTTTATCAATTTATGTTTATTTATATCCCACCTTTATTATTTTTAAGAATAACTCGAGGGGTCAGATGTATCTAACACACTTTCCTCGTCCTGTTTACCCCACTACCAGAACCCTGTGAGGTGGGTTGGGTTGAGACAGAGGGACTGGTCCAAAGTCAACCAGCTGGCTTTCAGTGCCTAAGGCAGGACTAGAACTCACTGTCTCCTGGTGACTGGCCCAAAGTCAACCAACTAGCTTTTATACCTAACCCAGGACTAGAACTCACTGTCTCCTGGTGGTTAGCCCAAAGTCACCGAACTGGCTTTCATGCCTAAGGTGGGACTAGAAGTCACCGTCTCCTGGTGATTGGCCCAACGTCAACCAACTAACTTTCATATTTAACCCAGGACTAGAACTCACTGTCTCCTGGTGACTGGCCCAAAGTCAACCAACTAGCTTTCATACCTAATCCAGGATTAGAACTCCGATGGGGAGTCAGCATCTGGATAGGCTGCTGAGATGCTTTCGCTGGAGTGGTGAAGATCCAAATCCTGCTCTTGACTAACATTAGGGGAAGCTGTCTTGCTAAGAGAGACCCAACCCCAGCCACCAAAACGCCGAGCATCCCCGGTTAAAAGAAAACCACCATGATTACAAGCCACATTTTTTCCCCCCAGGCATATAAAAGCAGCTGGGGGGGGGGGGAGACAGAAGGGAAGGAACCTACTTGCCACATTTCACGCATTCCTCTACGAACATGTTCCCATGCAGTTCTGCCAGCTTGTCCCTAGAGACATGAGGAATGGTTGATAGACAGTGGAGATCAGGGCAACTCAAAGACTTTTTGTGGAAGTGGCTCTCGGTTTATGGGCTAGTGGCGTAATAGCCTAATCAAGGACCCACCGAGGACACTCCCACCCACAAACCAGCAAGCCACCAGTCTGTAAACAGAGAGCAAACCCCACTCACTCCCTTCTAGCACTGATGATGTTCCCTAGTTGGGTCATGAAACGTCTGCAAGGAAACCACCCAGCTCAGAGAGCATCCAGGACCCCACAGCTGCCCTCCTCCTCCTCTAACACTTTCCCCTTTTCCTGTTCCACCACTCTTTCCCTTTCTCCTTCTCCACCACTCTTTCCCCTTCGCCTTCACGGAGAGCACCCACGACCCCATGGTCCTGGTCCTCCCCCCCCCAAACCACACTCCCTTCCAGCACTGCTGATGTTCCCTAGTTGGGTCATGAAACGTCTGCAAGGAAACCACCCAGCTCAGAGGGCATCCAGGACCCCACAGTTGTCCTCCTCTCCCCCCCCCCACATTTCTAGCACTGACCGTGTTCCCTAGCTGGGAATGATCTGCAGGTTCAATTCGATGGTCCTGAGTGTGATGGATTGATCTAGCACAGGGGTAGCCCACCTTGGCTCTTTTAGGACTGGTGGACTTCAACTCCCAGAATTCCTCAGCCAGCCATGCTGAGGGGAAAGGGAAAGGTTTCCAAGCTGAGGCAGGCTGGCTCAGGGATTCTGGGAGTTGAAGTCCACCAGTCATAAAAGAGCCAAGACCTACCCCTGCCATAGATAGATAGATAGATAGATAGATAGATAGATAGATAGATAGATAGATAGATAGACAGATAGACAGACAGACCTAGATCAGGGATAGGAAACCTTGGCTCTTTTATGATTCCTGGACTTCAGCTCCCAGAATTCCTGAGCCAGCCACGCTGAGCATGGAAACCTCTCCCTTTCCCCTCAGCATGGCCAGCTCAGGAATTCTGGGAGTCGAAGTCCACCAGTCAGAAAAGAGCCAAGGCTGCCTACCCCTGATCTAAGGCAAGGGGGTGGAATGATGCTCCCCTTTACGACTTGTGGACTTTGACTCCCAGAATTCCTGAGCCAGCCATCATTCCCCACCCCTAATCCAGGGCAATCGGTTGGAGAAGACCTGGCTTGAGACCTCCTCAGCCGCAAGGCTTCAAGCAGGTGAGCCTCACCTGGGGAAGCCGGACCTCACGTGAAGCCCGTCGATGTTTTGGCTGACCAGGAAGTGCAGGATGCCCACGCGCTGCAGCTCCAGCAGGGCCATGTGCGTCTTCGATGGCCTCGCGTTCTCAAAGGTCGTGTCGAACTTGGGGACCAGGCCCCGCTCCTCCATGGTCCACACCCCATTCGGGCCCCTGCAGGAAGGGAGACAAGCACGGTCGGTCCTCGACTTACAACGGTTCATTTCGTCACCGTTCAGAGTCACGACGGCGCCGACAAAAAAGGGACTTCTGCGCTTCGTACTTCACACTGCGGCATCAGACGCTTGGCAACCGGCTTGTACGTAGGACGGTCTCATTCCCACTTTGAGACCTTCCGATCGCCAAAGTCGACGGGGAAGCCGGGTTCACTTAACAACCCTGTGGCTCACTTAAGAACGGCGGGGACTCATTGAACAACGGTGGCAAGAAAAACCGTAAAACGGGGCAAAAGCCACTTGACCAAGGTCTCCCTTAGCAACATAAATCTTGAGCTCCGGTGTAGTCGATGATGGAGGACGACGTGGAGGTGGCGTGGCTCCAGGCTACCTGAGGAACCGTGTCCTCTCAATTAATCAGGATAGAGCTGGAAGGGGCCTTGGAGGTCATCTAATCCAGCCCCCTGCTCAAGCAGGAAACCCTAGACCAGACATGTCAAACACAAGGCCCGAGGGCCAGATGCGGCCCGCAAAGTGGTTTCATGTGGCCCGCGAAGCCATCCTGGAAACAGGGAGGGAATGGCCCCCGCTGGCTTGGCCCTGACCCAGGCCGGCCGGGAGCCGATGTACAATTTTGTGGTGGCCCTCTATGCTGAAACGCATTCAGTCTTAGCTCCACAAGGCCGTCTAGAAACAGCGAGGAACCAGCCCCTGCTGCGTCGGCCCTGCCCTCTGGGTGCTGCTGGGGAGGTGTCACCCTTTGTGAGGAATGAAGAAATGGACCAGGCCTTGGCGCTTGCCCCGGTCCCACCCCCTTCTGCCAGAGACCCTCAGACCTGTCCCACTCCTGCCCAGGCCCCCACAGGCACCCTTGACACGAACGATGTAGAGCTGGCCACGCCCACCCAGTAGGCCACCCCCCCCCGAGGGCAACCCCAATGCTGACACGGCCCTCAATGAAATTGAGTTTGACACCCCTGCCCTAGACCATTTCAGATAGGTAGCTCTTCTTAAAAACCTCCAGTGTTGGAGCATCCACAATTTCTGGTGGCAAGCTGTTCCACTGGTTAATAGTCCTCACTGTCAGGAAGTTTCTCCTTATTTTTTTTTTTTTTTGAATTTTTTTTTATTGATTTCCTATTTTCACATTTAAATATTTGAAAAGCAACGTGGCGGCTGAGTTGGTCAATGATTCCATAACGTACAAATATCTTTGGTACAGATCTCAAAACTATTACATTCAATATTTCCTCTTTTTTCCCCTTGGTATTCACTGTCTTGCGTTTCAATTCATACAATATCGATCAGAAAAAAAATAACTTTCTCTCATTTATCAATATTCTTTGTTTATACAGATCCTAGTCATTTTTAACATTCAAATCTTTAAAACCTCCAGTGATGGAGCACCCACAACTTCTGGTGGCAAGCTGTTCCACTGGTTAATTGTCCTCACTGTCAGGAAGTTTCTCCTAAGTTCTAGGTTGCTTCTCTCCTTGATCAGTTTCCACCCGTTGTTTCTTGTCCTGCCTTCAGGCATTTTGGTGAATAGGTTGACCCCCTCTTTTGACTTTGGAGAATAGGTTGACCCCCCCCTTTGGGGCAGCCCCTCAAATACTGGAAGACTGCTACCATGTCCCCCCTCATCTTTCTCTTCTCTAGACTCATGGGTCTGGGCAACTGTCTGATGCCAGCAGAAGAGGCACTCTGAAGACCCCATCATCCAACGAATTCTGGCTGGCAGGATCCAGGAAGAGAGCCTCCCGAAAGAGCCTTAAAACTTGGCTCTGCTGCTTGGCCTGGGGGTGGTTGCTGGATTAAATAGAAGACCCCCACCTCCACCCCATCATATACTCCCCCCTCCATTTTAGTTAATTGTGAATGAAATTCAATGGTGAAAAAAGCAAGATTCTACATTTAGGCAAGAAAAACGAAATGCACAGGGATAGTCTAGGGCAACGGTTCTCAACCAATGGGTCGCGACCCCATTTGGGGTCGATCGACCATTTTTCGGGGGTCGCCAAAGAAGGCGATCCGCCATTTTCTCCCCTCAGGGGGCGGCGCCGCGCATGCGCGCCGCGCAAGGGGGCGGCGCCCCCATGCGCACGGCACCACGCAAGCGCAGAACGTTTGTGTGACGGGGGTCGCCGTCACACAAACGTTGAGAACCACTGGTCTAGGGGGTACCTTGCTCAATAGTAGTAACTGTGAGAGGGATCTTGGAGTCCTAGTAGACAATCACCTAAATATGAGCCAGCCGTGTGCTGCAGCTGCCAAAAAGGCCAACACAGTGCTAGGCTGCATTAACAGAGGGAGAGAATCAAGATCACATGAAGTTGTTAATACCACTTTACGAGGCCTTGGTAAGGCCACACTTGGAATACTGCATCCAGTTTTGGTCACCACGATGTAAAAAAGATGTTGAGACTCTAGAAAGAGTACAGAGAAGGGCAACAAAGATGATTAGGGGATTGGAGGTTAAAATATATAAGGAAAGGTTGATGGAATTGGGTGTCTAGTTTAATGAAGAGAAGGATGAGGGGGGACAGGATAGCAGTCTTCTAATATCTCAGGGGCTGCCCCAAAGAAGAGGGAGTCAAGCTATTCTCCAAAGTGCCTGAAGGCAGGACAAGAAGCAACGGATGGGAACTAACCAAGGAGAGAAGCAACCAAGAACTAAGGAGAAACTTCCTGACAGTGAGAACAATTAACCAGTGGAACTACCTGCCTCCAGAAGCCGTGAATGCTCCAACACTGGAAGTCTTTAAGAAGAGACTGGATAGCCATTTGTCCAAAATGGTATAGGGTTTCCTGCCTGAGCATGGGGTTGGATTATATGACCTCCCAGGTCCCTTCTAACATTATTATTAATTATTATTATTATTACTATTATTACTACTACTACTACTATTAATTGTCTTTTAATTCTAATGTTACACTTACTGTTTTGCAGCATCATTTTTATTGTGTTGTAAGCAGCTCAAAGTCACGTGGCAGTGAAATGGGGAAGATATCAATTTAATAAATAAATCGACAGTAAATATGTACAACCAGGAACTGCCAGTTTTGAACCTGGTGGGAACGGCAGCTGAGGACCCCCTATGGGGTGGGAGAGAGAAAGAGGAAAAACTAGATGGAATCATTAGAGTCACCTATGGCTTGCCTTGAGGTGAAAATGTCACGGAAATAATTTCAAGGACAGACCACCCCTTCAACCAGTTCTTTAATTCTGCCAATTTCCTGGATTAATTGTAGCAATCAAACTTAAACCAGGATCGATGTCTTATGCCACTGCTCTCAAGGATGAAAGTTTGGCAGCTACGTGCCTCTGCGTCTCAACTTGCCTTTAGAGTAAGGGGGGGGAGGTGTAACTTTCAAGTGGGTTAGATGAAGAAAAGAAACTTCTACAATTTCACTGAAGACCACCAGATCCTGAAACCTTTTCAAGGACAGCAGAATAGGTGTGGATTTGAAGCAGACGGTTCCCGTAACAAAGTGAACTTGTTGATCTGGATTACATAAGACGTTGGGAGTTTGGCTGGGAAAACAATTGTTTAAGTCTATGAATTGGTGTTGGAACCTCAGAGTTAGTTTTGCTTCGACATAACCAAGTTGTGTATTCAATAAACAGTAAAATTTTTGGAGACGGAATGAACCTGGAGTTTTATTTGGATTCTTGAGCTGGATGTTGACAACTAATACAGGTAGTCCTCCTCTTTTGACCACAACTTAGCCCAACATTTCCGCTGCTAAGCGAGACAGTTGTTAAGTAGGTTTTACCCCATTTATGACCTTTCCTGACACCGTTATTAAGGGGATCACCACAGTTGTTAAGTTAGTAACATGGTGGTTAAGGGAATCTGGCTTCCCCCAATGGATTTGCTTATCTGAAGGTCACAAAAGGGGGTCACATGGGATCTAGGCCAATTTGCCATGGTCAACTCATCACGGTCAATTCGCCATGAGATACGAGTTACACTAATATCGAAGGAATGGTGGAACAGACTCATTAAAGAGAGGATGCCAAAGGTAGGACAAAATGAAATGTGAATGACAAAAATCCATTTTTAAAATTATTTCAAACACTTAAATTGAATTGTTGAACTGTCCCACAGCGAGTTGTCCCACACCAAGTTGGCCGTGCCAAGTTGTCCCATTCCGATCACATGATCCCGGGACACTGCAGTGGTCATAAATATGAACCAGTTACCAAGCTTCTACATTTTGATCACATGACCATAGGGATGTTGTAAGTGTGAAAAACGGTCCTATGTCACTTTTTTTCCAGTGGCATTGTAACTAAATGGCCATTTAATGAGGACTTCCTATATTAGATGAATATTCAACCATAAGCTTTCCCCTGTATTTCCCAAAATGAGACTGAGCATCAAGGCTTCATCATTCATAATCTGTACATTAAGCATTGCTAATATTTAGAGAATAGAACAGAACAGAATAGAATATGGAATGAATAGATTAGAATAGAGCAGGAATAGAGCAGGAATAGAATAGGATAGAATAGGAAAGAATAGAAAATAGAACAGAATAGAGAATAGAATACAATAAGGAACAGATAACAGAAAATAGAATAGGATAGAAAATAAAATACAATATATAATATAGAACAGAATAGAGAATAGAATAGAAAATAGAATACAGTATAGAATAAATAGAATATAGAATAGAATACAGTATAGAATAAATACCGAGGTGGCGCAGCAGTTAGAGTGCAAGTACTGCAGGCCACTTTAGCTGACTGTGTTCAGCAGGTCAGCGGTTCAAATCTCACCGGCTCAAGGTTGACTCAGCCTTCCATCCTTCCGGGGTAGGTCAAATGAGGACCCAGATTGTTGGGGGCAATGTAAATATATATATACATTGCTTACTGGTGTACACCGCTTAGAGAGTGCTTGCGCTTAAAGCGGTATATAAGTCTCAAAAATAAATAAATAAATAAAATATAGAATATAGAATAGCAGAGTTGGAAGGGACCTTGGAGGTCTTCTAGTCCAACCCCCTGCTCAGACAGGAAACCAAAATGTTCCAAACCAAAATTGTTATCCTCATTTCAATGCACGGCTTCCTAAACCAAACAGGTTTATTTTCCAAGTCTGTTGTTCCCAATCCACGGAATCCAAAACTTCCAACTGAAAATTCAGAGTTAGCTAAAGTCTGACTTCCTCCAGACCTCTCTGGCCTTGGCTGTCCCGTTTCCTCACCCAGCCTACCTGAAATCCGGAATCCCTGAGGCTGTGCTGATTCCTGCTCCGGTGTGAAACACCACATTGTAAGAATTCTGGATCAAGTCAGCCAACTGGTGGATCTTCCTCTCCAGCTCGTCCGGCGAATCAAAAATCTGAACCCAAAAATGGAAGGCATTAAGAGTCAGTGTCGATTGGTTGCATTGCAGAGGTGCAGCATGGGAGTGCACCCCAAGATGTGAAACCCCCCCACTGGGTACCGACAGCCGGGAGTTGTTAAGTGAATCCCACGGTCCTTAAACGCATCTGGCTTTGGCTCCCACAAGGCCTCCCCTACCTCCTCCATTGTCCCCCGGGGCAGCCCCTGGTGCCTGAGTCTCCCCGTTCGTTGCCTCAGTTTCCCTCCAGGCCCTCCCAAGCCTCAGGCTCCTGCCCCCCTCCTCCCCCAGTGCCTCAGTTTCCCTTCTCTGCCTCAGTTTCCCTCCATATCCTCCGAGGTTCAGGCTTTTGCCCCCCATCCCCCCGGTGCCTCAGTTTCCTCCTTCTCCTTCCATGCCTCAGTTTGCCTCCAGCCCTCTCCCCCAGGTTCAGGCTCCTGCACCCCCCCGTGCCTCAGTTTCCCCCTTCTCCTTCTCTGCCATTTCCCTCCAGGACCCCCCCCCAGCTTCAGGCTCCTGCTCCACCCCTCCCCCCTGGTGCCTCAGTTTCCCCCTTCTCCTTCTATGCCTCAGTTTGCCTCCAGCCTCTCCCCCAGGTTCAGGCACCTGCTCCCCCCCCCGTGCCTCAGTTTCCCCCCTCTCCTTCCATGCCTCAGTTAGCCTCCAGCCCTCTCCCCCAGGTTCAGGCACCTGCTCCCCCCCGTGCCTCAGTTTCCCCCTTCTCCTCTGCCATTTTCCTCCAGGAACCCCCCCCCCAGCTTCAGGCTCCTGCTCCACCCCTCCCCCCTGGTGCCTCAGTTTCCCCCTTCTCCTTCCATGCCTCAGTTTGCCTCCAGCCCTCCCCCCCAGGTTCAGGCTCCTGCACCCCCTCCCCGTGCCTCAGTTTCCCCCTTCTCCTTCTCTGCCATTTCCCTCCAGGACTCCCCCCCCCCAGCTTCAGGCTCCTGCCCCATCCCTCCCCCCTGGTGCCTCAGTTTCCCCGGGGAGGCCTCGCCAACCCCCATTGCTGAGGGTCCCTCAGGGGGGAAGGGGGCGGGGCAGGGACGGCCCGTTCCCATGGCAACGAGGCCTCCTCTCTCTCTCTCATTCTCCTTCTCTCTCACCCACCTCCGGGAGGCCGCACTTCCCCTTGTCCGGGTAGGGCGACAACCCCGCCGCGTAATTGACCGACATCCCGCCGCTGCCTCCCCCTGCCCCCCCCCCCGCCGCCCCGCTACGTCTTCATCGTTTCGTTGGGAATCATTAGGGGCCTTTCTCCCTCCCGCTTAACGGATAACTTCCGGTCGGGCGGGGAAAGGCCGGAAGACGACTTGCTGCGCAGGCGCATCGCACTACCATTAGTTGTGGGGCGGTCTGGCCATCTTTGTTTCGGGCGGAGGGAGCGGAAGCGTTGCTCTCATTGAAAGGTGACGTCGAGGGCGCCATGTTTGCTTTTGGCCCGAGTACGGGAGGACGCCATGTTGGATACTGGTAGAGAGAGAAAGAGAAAGAGAGAGAGAGAGAGAGAGACTGTTTCTTGTGCGTGATCGCGCATAAAGGTAAACCGGGGTCGTCGCCATCTTTGTTTCGGGCGGAGAGAGCGGGAGTGTTGCTTTCATTGACAGGTGACGAGTCGAGGGCGCCATGTTTGCTTTTGGCCCGAGTACGGGAGGACACCATGTTGGATACTGGTAAAGAGCGAGCGAGCGTGTTTCTGTGCGTGGTCGCGTATACGGTAAACTGGCGGCGTCGCCATCTTTGTTTCGGGCAGTTAGGGCGGAAATGCGGGAAAGGGGGAAGGCGGGGGGCCTTCTGGCGGCGGGGGGGGGGGGGGGCGGGGGCGGAATTTGCTTTCTTTGGAAAGAGTTAACCCCCAAAAATATTAAAATCGCAATACTGACAAAAAGTAGCAGTTTAATATCATGTCGACCTTTGAAGGTTTTAGGAAGACTCCAGTGACAGGTGCATTCAGACAATCACACAGGTTAACCTTCCCCATCCTGGTTAGGTTTCCTTTTGTGCTTAGGAAGTCGTCTGAATCCAACTCCCTGGTCAGTTTAAGGGACAACCTATTGGGAGAGCTGAGAAAAATTCAATCAGTTAAGTCTGCTGGGTGAACCCAGCTGGTTTAAAGGCCCAAGAATAAGCCTTTGAAGGAAAACACGTGGTGGGAAGTCAGCCCGCCCCCCTCCCCAGAGAAGGAAATATTAAAAGGGCAGGAAAATATATTTCCTCAAAGTAATGTGGAATAATGAACAATCACTAGAACAGTGGTTCTCAACCTTTTTAATGCCGCGACCCCCAACCGGTCGTAAGTCGAGGACTACTCAACCGGTCGTAAGTCGAGGACTACTCAACTGGTGCAGCACCGTTTGCAGAATGGGACTTTTGGCGGGCTCAGCAGGGCAGAGACAGCCTGGACAATTCCTATTGGCTTTTGAAAGCCAATAGAATTAGACTCTATTCAAGAGAGTCTATTCTATTGGCTTTCAAAAGCCAATAGAATAAAAGGGAGGAGCACAGCTAAGGAAAAGGGGGGAAAAAATGGCGGACTGCGTTGTTTGGCGACCCCCGTGAAATGGTCGTTCGACCCCAAATGGGGTCCCGACCCACAGGTGGAGAACCACTGCACTAGAATAATGATGTGTCTGCATAATTACTGGAATAGTGCTGTGTTAGTAGTGTGTGACTAACCCAGGGGTTCTCAACCTTGGCAACTTTAAGACTTGTGGACTTCAACTTCCAGAATTCCTCAGCCAGCTTTCTGGGAGTTGAAGTCCACAAGTCTTAAAGTTGCCAAGGTTGAGAACCCCTGGACTAACCTTATGTGCATTGCACTTGGATACAATGTATGTAGCAAACTCTCCATTGTATACCCCTGAGAAACCAACCTAATGTATCATAATGTGTATTTCAATGTGTATTCCTTTGTTCCTGAGAGAAAAAAAAAAGGAAAGTATAAAACTGAAGTCTGAACCCGCCCTCGGTGTTCAGAATTGCTTGTTGCTATGGCTTCTGAACCTGCGCAATAAATCTCTCTGCTAAAACCCTCTGGAATTTGTAAGAGTCTCATTTTCCACAAGAAAAGGACCTTAAAGAGGCAGAAAAGCATGCCCAGTTTTTTTCTTAATAGCCCCAAGTCTGCCTCCCCCAAGCAGAAACCAGCTCTGTAGAAATGCAGATGTAAACTATCAGGAAGGTTGAAGCCAGAAGCTTAGGAAGACAAAGACACCTAAAATCTACATACCCCACCCAAACTCTAAGACAGGACATAATAGGATTAACCTACAGGTGCCAAAGGGCACACCCAGACTCAGGTCAGAATACATGACACAGGAAATACAATGTCTCAAAACAGAAACAGGAAACAACTCCAAACAAAACGCTCCAGAGGGTATAAAAACCCACTCCCTACATGTGCTCTCTCTTTTTTCTTCCAGAGCTGTCTTCCTGTCTGGCTCTCCTCTTCAATAAACTGCAACCTTCTTTCTAAAGCAGATGCCATGTTGTTTATTCCAAGCTTGGACTGAACCATGATGAAGCCCTTTCTTTCAACAGAAGAAAGAAACCTTGATCCATGTTCTAGTTTAGCTTGTTGATGACCAGACTGTCGTTAAGAACGCGCGCGCACACATACACACATACCATTGAGAATGAAATATTTGGGGGAATATTAAAAAGGGGCAGAATATTATATTTCCCCAAGGAAGAAATGGAGAAAAATATTAACAAAGGAAAAAAGCAGCCCCAGTTTTATAATGACCCACTCCCTACATGTGCTCACTCTCTTTTCTTCCAGAGCCATCTTTCTGTCTGGCTCTCCTCTTCAATAAACTGCAACCTTCTTTCTAAAGCAGTCGCCATGTTGTTTATTCCCGGCTTGGACTGAACCACGATGAAGACTTTTCTTTCAACAACATTTTCATGGTATTTTTTAAAATTCCTCTCTTAACTTTAATTAATTCCAGTTGGCTTCATTTCCCTAGTCCAACCTTGACCACTTTAAGCCTTGTGGATGACCAGCTGCCCGCAAGGAATACGAATCCTTCCATTTGCCCACCATCTGATCAGAGTTGAAGAAGCTTCTTGGAGGAGAAGCGAAATGTCTTCAAAGAAAGTCCAGTTGCCTCGTGAAAGAAAGCACCTTTGGGTTCCCCGCTCGGAGCATCTTATCTCTGAACAGCAGGAACTGGGAACAAGGTACAAAGCACAGGTAGTCCTCGACTTTACGACAATAATTTTGGAACAAAATTTCCGTTGCTGAGCCTGGCGTTCGTTAAGTGAGTCCCGTTCAAATTGACCACCTTCTTTATTTATTTGTTACTTATTTGTTTGTAAAATTTATTAGCTGTCCATCTGGCTACAGGTGGCTTTTTTGTGCCATAGTTGTTAAGCAAAATCACTGTAGAGTTAAATGAATCAAAGTGGTCGTTAAGCGAATCCAGCATCCCCCATTGATTTTGATGGTCGGACGTCGGCTGGGAAGCTCACAAGTGGCAGTCACATGACCCTGGGATGCTGCAACCATTGTAAATACATGCCAGTTGCCAAGCACACCTGCGTTTTGATCACGCAACCACAGGACAGGGTTATGGTTGAACGTGCAGGTCACTTTTTCACAATCTCCTTAAATGGTCCAAAGTCAGGGGTCTTCACACTTGGCCCTTTTATGACTTGTGGACTTCAACTCCCACGCGTGCCTGGCTGAGGAATTCTGGGAGTTGAAGTCCACAAGTTATAAAAGAGCCAAGTTTGAAGACCCCTGTTGTAAGTCAAGGTCTGTCTCTATTGCTGTATAGTATATTCTTTTGAAATTTGGAGTCCATCTGCAATTCAAACGTTACTGGGGCCCAAAGCAATGCGTAGCTCATCCTGAACTTTCAACCATCTTTCAGCTTGTGGGAAGTCACCCCCCCCCCGAGAAGGAAATATTCTGGGGGGGGGGAATATTAAAAAGAGCAGAATATTATATTTCCCAAAGGAATACAGTGATGGAGAAGGAAATCTTAAGAGACAGAAACCCCAAGCCCGTCTCTCCCAGGCAGACGCCAGCTCTGTAGAAATGCAGATTTGATAATCCTATTCTGAAAGGTTGGAGCCAGAAAGTTAGAAGCTGATGAGATTATTATTATTATTATTATTATTATTATTATTATTAATAATAATAATAATAATAGCTGAAGAAACAGTGGACCACCTGGTAAGCTGCTGCAAGAAGATTGCACAGACTGATTACAAGCAGCGGCATGACAAAGTAGCAACAATGGTGCATTGGAAGATCTGCAAAAAATATCATTTGCCTGTAAGCAAAAACTGGTGGGATCATAAAATAGAGAAAGTCATAGAAAATGATAAAATTAAACTGCTCTGGGACTTCAGAATTCAAACAGACAAGCACCTGCAACATAACACCCCAGACTTAACAATTGTCGATAAGAAAGACAAAAAAGTCTGGATAGTGGACGTGGCAGTGCCTGGAGACAGCAGAATAGAAGAGAAAGAACTGGAGAAGATAACAAAATACAAAGACCTACAAATAGAAATAGAAAGACTGTGGCAAAAGCAAGCAAGGGTAGTACCAATAGTCATAGGCTCCTTGGGTGCAATCCCAAAACAACTGGAGCACCACTTGAACACCATTGGCATTGACAAATTCGCTATTAGTCAATTGCAAAAGGCAGCCTTACTAGGAACTGCTTCCATCCTGCGACGATATCTGTAATACCATCAAACATCTGCCTATCCCAGGTCCTGGGTAAGGACTCGATAGGTAGACAAAATGCCAAATCCAGTCTGAGCATCTGGCTGACTATGCGATGATTGATAATAATAATAATAATAATAATAATAATAATAATAATAATAATAATAATAATAATAGTTGGAGGGTACCTTGGAGGTCATCTAGTCCAACCCCTTGCTCAGGCAGGAATCCCTATACCATTTCAGACAAATGGCTGTCCAGTCTCTTCTTAAAAACTTCCAGTGTTGGAACACTCAGAAAGACAGAGATCCCTAGAACCAACAACCCCTCGCCCCCAAAAATCCAACACAGTACATACTCATCAGCCCCAGCCCCAGGGAAGCAGGATATGACCTTTGGGACATAATAGGATTAACCCACCACCATCAGAATGCCAGAAAGGCACGCTCAGACTCAGGTCAAAGTTCATGCCCCAGGAACAACTCCAAACAAAAGCCCAAGAAG